GCTAGCGCTACGCACTGCTGCCTTCTCTGGAGCATGGCGGTTGTGATGGCCATCTCGACCTCTCTCACCCAGAGCAGGAGATTCTATCCATCCTTATACTCAAAGACCTTTACGCTCACCATGAGCGGCTTAGGTCGGGGAAAATCATCCGTCACCGACGGTGGTGTCATCGACGCAAATGATGCAGACATCTTTCGCTGCAGGTGCTCTAGCAGCGCGTTATCGTAGTTTAAACGCCTCTAGACGCGCACCGATTGCCTCAGGGCCTTGCGCCACGAGGTGTTGCATGCCCTCAGGGCCAAGCAAGGACATCAGCTTGGCAAGCCCGTCCTGTATGTCCTGGGGCAAAGAGAAAAATTCTTCCATCCTCACAGAGGATCGGTCTAAACGACTCAAGTGTAGATTGACTACAAGTGCTACCAAGTGTAGCGGGGCTGCCGTAGCTTAGCGCTTGAGGAAGCGTAATTTTGGTCGCCGACCTTTTGCTCTTTACGAGAACCAATACGAGTGTAGCGGATAGATTTTCCTAAATATGTTTAGTAAAATCTAAATACATGCATAACTACTGCCGTAACCTTGTTCACGCGATGTCCATCTCGTGTGACACACACACCTGTTACCAGGGTACGTGTAACCCCGTTACACTGTGAGTGGGCTAAGAAGAGGTTAAATGCAGATTTTAGTGTCTCCGCTGACGGAAAGGAGCATTCTTTACGAATACAGCAATCTTCTGTCAATTCTGGGATACTAAAAGATCAAACATCGCTCATACGAGTGTTCTTTCAATCAATTTTTTGCTACTCCCTTTTTAACTACACTCAATCCTTTGAATTGGGTTGATCGAATATTATATTACAGAGCTGGGATACAAATAAATATTTCAGCTTCGTTTAATAGTAACGTTTAGCCTGGCCTACACGACCTGTCTGCGCCACGGAAGCGTCGGCTTTCGAAAGGCAAGCGACACAGCTTCCTCTGTTCGACCTAATAGACTCGAGGCCTGTTCTGAGAACCTTTCCACATCTTTTTTGCTGTAAAATAGCTCCGGTACTTGATCGTCTGGTACAGCTGGGATAGTGCGCACCAGTACACTGCCAAAAAAGGAGACCCGACGTGTCTCGACCGCGTTCACATCGCTTTGCGCATCCATAGAAGAGCTTTTCATACGTCGCACGTCGCTACGCATTGCAAGTTGATAGAATGCGGAAACCCATTGTGTCTGATCCGCACGGCTGAACACGCGAGCAAGAAGTTCCCGTCCATCTGTGAGGGTAAACTCGATTCCTAGCTCGTACTTTGGCGTCACACGACCACTGACTAACTTCAGCGTCTCCAAGACGTTGCGACGGCAAGTGGCGTCTTGTTTATTCGAAAATACAAGCAGTTCTGTATTGCTCAACACCAGAAAACGCGTGTTCCACGTCAAGACGTTACGCCTCTTAATGCGCGCATAGCCTTCGCAATAGATAACGGACGTTGTACTGGTCTGGTCGAGACTGAAACGTCGAGTTTTTGTGGTTGAGGCAGCTGCAGATAGCGCAGAAGAAGTGACGCCTGTGTGTGTGCGTCGACGTGTGTCTGGCGGTTGTCGGATGGTCATGATAATTGTCGAGGGTATGTATACCTTACTAGAGGGCTGGCGGCAACTTTGATAAATGAGTTTAAAGGTAATGTAATTCAATTGCAGCAACTGACCCCTCAATTTTCGCAGCTACAAAATTGGAACTGGAGTTATTTCTATATTATTGGGCAGGAAAACGTAAAAAATGCGCTTTGTGTCAGCTCTATGGCATCTACATCACTTGGTATTAGGCACGATTCAGACTTGTCTCAAACCTGATATTCATTTCCACATGTCTTTCTCAGCAGTGTTTGTAATAACTTGTCCTCCACTACATCCTGAAGAAAAGCTGACTCCACTTTTACTGTTTGGAATTCTTTTTCCTTTACACCTTACGACTATAACAACAATGTAATTATCTTGTACCCATGGGTTGACGTTCAACTTATGTCACTTGATGGTATACGCAAAGTTCAGTAGAATCTCAGTGTTTATACCATCCAAGGACTGCTATCCCATTACCAGCTTCCTCCCTGATCGAGAACTCACTTTGTTTTCAGATAGTAACCGTCTATTAGGATGAAGCAGTGAATTATTGTCTGCGACAACAGTAATGCATCAATTTTGTTGACTGCAATGCTAATCCAAAAATGTCATGTAACGACTTGGGAACAATATATTGTTACATAACAATTACAAATTGCTGTAATGCTTACTTCAACCATGGCTACAGTCATATTCTCCAAGAAAGATTTGCAAGAAATATATAGGAGATACAAAGCACCCAGTATGTAACAGGTAATCGATACGAAAGGGGCTGCCCTAGCCGATAGACAATGTTTGTTGGTTATTGTGGTATAGGGCCAATGCAACCGGGAGGTGATAATATATAGGTTGATGTAAGCAAGCGCTACAGAAGTAAACGATAGTCCGATCCGTAGACCTCGTTGGAACGGCTAAGGAAAGCTGCAAGAGAAAAAGTTAACATTATTGGCCTATTTAGCTCATTAATTTATTGTAGAATGCTAATCATTAATAATTGTCAGCAAATAATAAACATGCATATTGGTGTTGGCTGGACGCTTAACGAACGATCGACAGCTTGTGTTGCGTTCATTTACAAAATCGACGTTAGTGACTGAGGTGAACACAGATGTTAAGTAAGTTGGGTCTCTTGGAATTGTTGTGATTTTGCTAGCAGCATAGTGTTGCGCATATATATTCTGCCAAAGTGCGACTCATCAATCGCAAGAATAGGTTATCAGTTTATCGAGAGTCAGCGTACCAAACGATCTTTCTCCTTGAATTGATACATAAAACATGCTCCGCAGCGATCAGATTCCTTTGCCTTTGAAATGCTCCAGAACACATGCGTTGTTCTAACCGGCTATCACCAGGACAAGGTCCTATCAGTTAAAAAGATGTCGTTCGAAGTCTGTCACATTCGATGTTAAGCTAAATGGAGCGATACTTTATTTAAGCGAGAACTTTCCATACAAGAAGCAGAAAGATAATTTAAGACCACTCAGCTAATTGAGCCTCAAGATCCTTCGTGTTTTCATAGACTTTAATTTAAGTTACTGGTTAATAGGTTTCGTCACTATAAACAACGAGCGTGATCGCACATATGCCTATTAGGCGGCGCGAAAGGAAATTTGTGGCGAATGCTACTGCTGTCATGCTTGTCATCAAAATGATGCTTACAACTAATCTCCGAAATGACGCTTTCTATCTTTCTTCGTTTTTTTGTCCCCATAGCTATTGTTTGGAACGCAGAACCTTTTTGAGTTTAAAAATATTTTTGTTGTTGTTGATAGGAAGTTTTCAAGCAACCAATGAAGGACAAATAGATTAATTGCGGCAAAGAGTAAGTTAAGTGACATTGCAAGCTATGTATTGTGTACAGTTCCGCCCTGAAAACATTGATTTTTGCTGCATATGTTCAATTTTTCGCTAAAGAGTTCCAGTGCTCTACTACTATCAGTACAGTATTCACATTTTTCACAATAGCATCCGCAGCTGGATATCGTTCTGCGTCATCTTCACTAAAGTCGGCTCGCGTCAATACATCAGGTTTTGTCCACGTGACATTCACCCAAATAGTTCTAAATCCAGCGCGTTTAGCTCCTTTCACGTCGCACTCATAATGGTCGCCGACGTGGACGAGGTGCTGGCGTTGGTACGAGGCCGGGAACTTATTTACTGCCGCATCAAAAATTGCTTGTTCTGGCTTGGCACAGCCCACAAGCTCCGCAGAAATCATAAAGTCGACATGGTGATGAAAATATTTCGGTAATTTCTCCATGTCGCAATTGCCATTGGTGATGACTCCCAGAATAGGAAAAGTAGTGTCATCGATGTCACTAGAACGCCGAATTTCTGATTTCAAGCCTTGAAACAAATTTTCAACGCCGTCAAAAAGCTCTGGTTGGCTACGAGGTACTAAAAATGCTTGAAATGCGGAGTCTATAAATGCCTCAAGCTGCGTTTGATTCTGCAAACACAAAGTTTGAGCACCGCAAGCATGTAAACAGTGGCGCAGTGTATATTTGCGAAGAAAAGTATAATCGTGTGCTTGGTCGGGTAGTGTACGCTGAAATTGGACGAGTAGTGCGTCAAACGCTGCGGGAGGGAATTTTTTTGCTAGCTGTGGTACTTCTCGCTCCAGGTATGAGTGGAAAGCAGCAGTGGCATTGCGAATGACAGTCTTGCCGCACCACAGCGTGTCATCCAGATCGAAGGTCACACCACGCACAACCAAAAAAGTTGATCCCATTTAATGCTTAAGCAGAGTTGAGCATGAAAATCAACAGTTTATAAAAAAGTTTGAATTTTTCCAGCTATAAATATCACATACTGATAATGTCAAAAGTATTTTGTATAGCCCACTTTAGTGACAAAACATTGAAGTTTGCCAGCCAACCACGATGTCCGTGCTTGTCCGTGCGCAATTAAAGTCGGCGGTTTACGTTGCGGCAACAAGACAACACGTGGGTAAGACTAGCACATGTTTGGGTCTCCTGCAAGGCTTGACCTCTCGTTTGGACCGTATCGGCTTCCTAAAGCCAGTTGGCCAGGAGAGTGTCGCTGTTGAGAATGGCTCTTTGCTGGTGGACAAAGACGTCGCAGTGGCAAAAGGTATGCTTAACTACCTGCGTTATTATATATTGATGGTCATTGGATGATTCTTTTATTTTGTAGAGATATTTAAGCTTGATTCTTGTCATTATGCGGATATGTCTCCCGTGGTGATCATGCCTGGGTATACAAAGCGCTTTTTAGATGGAGACATAACAGTTGATAGTCAATTGAACAAGATTCGGACGAGTTTTGATCGTATTACGGCGGCGAACGAGGTAAGTAAGATCATAGGTTTGCTGTGGCATAATGTACTACATTTACTAACTAAGTGAATATTTAGTTTACCATCGTAGAAGGCACAGGACACACAGGAGTTGGCTCGATTGTAGACTGCAATAATGCTCGAATTGCTGCCGAATTGGGCGTAGATATGGTACTTGTGGCCAATGGAGGACTAGGCTCGTCGTTTGATGATCTGGCTCTCAACTATTCGTTGTGCAAAGCGCACAATGTTAAGATTCGCGGTGTAATCTTAAACAAAGTACGAGAAGACCGAATGGAAATGGTACGAGAATATTTTCCCAAAGCGATGAAGCATTGGGGTAGCGATGTGCCTCTCATTGGCGTCGTGCCAAATCTTTCCGTGCTCTCAAATGCAAGCATGCTGGATTTTGAAGGACTTTTTAAGACCGAAATACTGTCGTCTCGCTCACGACGCTTTCAGCAGTACAATAGGACGACACTCGTGACGGCAGGGCTGAGAAGATTTCTGGCAAAGCTGAGTGCTCCGGAATATGATAATACGTTGTTTGTCACTCACGTGTCGCGAAACGACATTATCTTGGGGTTTTTATCACACGCGCAAAATTTTGAGCTTACTGAAAAGAGGCCTTACGGTGGTGGACTCATTCTTACTGGATCTCCATCTTGCGACCAACCACAAAAATACATTAAAAATATCATTAAGAACGCGGAGGTACCCGTACTTTACGTGCCCATGACGACTTTTAAGGCTATGGAAAAGATCACGCACTTCACGGGTAAGTCAAGATTGTACTGATTGTCGCGAATTTCGACTTACACAATTTTCTAATGTGCTGCTTTAGCTAAATTTAATCCAACAGACGAACAGAAAGTACGCGCGTGTGGCGAGCATTACGCTAGCCACATTAATTTCGACGCCATTCTCGCATGAGAAACATTACGCGCCTGGGCCGAAAGTACAGCCAGATTTATATCCTAGACAAACGACGAAGTTAACATTTATATTACCTCTGTTAATTGAGGCTTCCAAATGCACACACCATAATCATTCTTAGATCCGAAATCAATCATACGACATTCTTCAGTGCTTCTCAAAATAAGCTCTATCTATATGAATAATGGTGGAGTCATATAATGTGCGCTATACTAAGTAACAAGCACATTAGTCTCGGACCGAATTAGTATCCCGACTGCCACGCCTAACTCTTAGAACTTGCTTGCCGCATTATATTCAATATTGGGATTGAGATTTTTGAGCCTTGCAAATTGGAAAATTGCTCAAATTCAGTCTTAAAAAGTTACTGCTATGATACAGTACAGCTAATGAAAAATATCAATGTGTGTATCGGTGAATTGGTCCCAACAGGAAAAAACTGCTACTCGAAATAGTTCAAGCAGCTTGCATATGTTATTAATAAATCTATGTAGATAAAAACCAGACAAAGGTGTGTGTTATACCTCCTTCATGGTGTAGTAACATGTTTGATAGTCCGATTTTAACCCTTGCCTGACAACTAAAATGGAAGTACATAGAGATCATATTGCCGACCAGTCAAGCGGAAAGCTCCCGACATATGTCATCTTTCAGTGCCCAGTGCCCACTCGCTTTCGCACTCGCAATACTAGACATGTCACCAGCGCGCTCGATATCATCGGCGCGATCTATGCGACCCACTGTGCGTTTAAACCCAACAATTTCACCATTGCACTCGACCCCTTTCGCTAGCACCACCCATAGATCCCCTTCTGCATCCCAAGCAATCGTACGCGTGTGGCTTTTTCGTCGATGTATACTTCACACCTTGTGCGACCAAATTCCACCTCGTCTCAGATCGCTTTTCGTCAGGATGAGCTGCTCAGTAGCCGCGAAGAATAATCATGTTACCAGAAGAGGTAAATATCCCCAAATTAACATAAGCGATTTTAACTGTCCGCTACTTCGAGGCTTCATCATCGATAATATCTTATTTGTAGTTGAATTCATCGAACTTATTATTTTAGCGCTTCTCTCACCATGCCTTATCTTAGGTATAACTTATCGTAATGTTATAAGAACAATGCGCGTGCCCCCCCTTAATAGTAAATTTGCTTCGTATTTAGATCAGCAAATGTATAGGACGGTCCAAACAATTTAGCCTTGCTCAATACGCCCCCACGTTATACCTGATACAGCGACAAGAGGGACATCTGTAGCTACCAATTTTCTAAATTTGTATCTATGACGCTAGCGCTTGTTTATCGAGTCTACTTGCACATCCGAAAGGTGACCGTACTACGGTAATCCTGTTAATGGGATCAAAGATGACTTTGAGAAGAAGAACGGATTTTCTTTTGCAAAGATATGTGGTCGGTCATTCGATGTCTAGATCGCGAAACATTGAGGCAATTGGGTGTTAAAAATGATGTAAACGGATGATGTGAACGAAATCTAAAGTATATATACAGCAGCTTGGCTTATAAAACGCTGAAAAGTTGTTTGTCGTGCTGGCGTGGGATCCCTAAACGCCTACTCCTTCGGGTCATTTGCTCGAAAAGAGCGTCAGAAAGTCACCCCACGAGCGCTTTCTGACCCCATAGATGATAAATCCAAATCGGTCTAGATACAAAATTTATGTGTGAACGCTGGCGTGCGAGTATTGAGCTTTATTTGCGCAATCGATGATGAAAAATTGCCGATTCACTCATTCAATAGCTTTGCAAGTCAGCTTCAGTGAAGCAGAAAGCGTCGATAAATGCTTTCTTCGCGATGTAAGCGAGATATTTAATCTATTAGATCACAGACACTGCATATGGAGTAAATTTAACAGCATTCGATAAGATCTTCTTCCAAAAATTGTAATACACCAGTCTTCGGTGTCGGCATGTTGCTCTTCTTCACCCCTATTCTAAGCTGCAACGTCACGCATTTGCCGCATAACGCTCAATCTCATTGAGGTAGATCTGTGATCTCGCTACAAAGTGTAGCCAGGTTGACACCAGTGAGTCAAATTGCTTCAACAGCATCTCCCCACCTAAACTGGTATCACTTCGTGTCGGTGTCAAGATGAGACAAGGTTCAACCAAATCAATCATAAATGTCATATGGAGGCATGCAACACAATATTTAAAAACGAGTTAAACCAGCACCGCGGTCTTATTAAAAAGTGACTCGAAGGAGACTCATCACTGCGCGATGTACGCGCTTTATTGTATCAAAATTGGGCATGTTCAATTAGGAGCTCTACACCCTCAACAAAGTTTGTCGAAAATTTGTTATAAGCTCGGCTTGCAACCGAGATAATGACTACCGGCAACTTGAGACGGCGAGATTTTTATCGCGGAACAGCCTGGCTATATCCTCACCGGTTACAAATCGCAGACAACAGCGAGATGAACCATGTTGCATATAGACCACAAAAATCCCGAGGCCAGTATAACCGGACGCGTCTCCAAAACCTATAATAATGTCCATACTTATGGTCTGCCAACACTATGCTTGAAACGGTAATATGGCCTAATAAATCAACGCAAAAACCTAACCCTTCGACTAAGTATGCGCACATACGTAATTACCCACTTGTACATGACGGCCGACAGTTGAGAGAGATCAGTGAAAAATATGTCTTTTCTTATTTGAGGTAGTGGTCTAGTGGAGATAACGTGTTGTGAACAGTATTCTGAACTTGATGCCCTCATCATGAGGTACTACCACTCATCGTTTATCATATGGGCCTACTATCACACCGCTAGCCTTGGGGTGATAAAATCTCGGCGCGACGAGCTACCAAACGAATCACAAAACGGAATTTGATTTTTCAAACCGCTTGCATCTCAAAAGTCTTAACAACGCAACATGTGTTTCGCCTGTCCCGTACGCTGTACAGTTCGCTTAATGCCAAGTCGCGAATTTTCGCTACAATTCATAGATCCAGAAACAAAACTGTTATACTCCTCGTACTCAGTGTTCTGTGAGTACCTTCAACGGACAAAGAGCATACCTCTAATTCGATACCGATCCTACCATTTTGACGTCTTTATTGCCTTGTGACTTTTCTGAGAATACTTTTTAGGATAACTACATTAATGAAACGCGATCGATTGCCAAATGTAACAAGACGCGATTACACAGTTTATAATTTCTCAAGATGATTGCGTGCAATAACCATTTCTCGAAAATTCACTCTGAAGCGTTAATTCCCCGCGGTGGTACCTCACGCTGCAGCGAGGCTGCCGCAGCCCTTTGCATAGAGATATCTTAGCTAAGTTCAACGACCTTACATTCTTTACAAGAACCAGTACGAGTGCAGCGGACTGCAATCCGCTACCTCCAAAGTACTCAAAACCTTAACGATGGTAAAAACGCTCTTTCATTAAAAAATGCGACTGGATTTAACTGTTTTAGTTGCGGCAGAGCCGACACTCTAGTATTTCCTAATTATAGTTAAACCTGATTAATATGCGTTACTGCTGGCAATTCTGCCGCGTAGTGGCATCTTGTTACGGTAAAGCTACACCACTGTGTGAGTTCATCAACTTGTGTAATTCGCACCTAGTTACGGTCACACCATCTTCTGTGACCCGCCCTTTCATACAAGGGGATGTGTAACCCCGTTACACACTCGGTAAAATTGACTCTGCAGGACCGTTGTTTCGTGTCATGGAAGTGTCAACTTTAGTAAGATAAGGCCAGACCCATCTGCTTTGAAGTTAAATCACTCTCAGTTCCACTGTCCACAAATGTAAGTTGTTACACCAACACTTTAGACCATGATGCTGCGACAACAAAAACTCATACTCTTCACTTCACTGGCGTTGGTGCAAGAAAAACCAGCTAACCCATGTAAGTGCAACCTCATTAACTTTGAGAGACCAAGACTTGCAACCGCTCATACGCGTCTCGGCTGAAAAATACTATATAGACTACAACCAACGATCGCTTTTGACTTTCGCATATTAATACTGCTGCTAAAAATTACTATTTCTTTCCAAGCTCTATCTAATTCACTCAACACCGTCGTCACTACATCTATCAGAGATTCTCATATTCTGCAACAAAACCATGATGTGTTTTTTTCTCTTAGCAAAGGTGGTTTGAGATCTGCAAAATACTACAATATCAAAGCCTTCGAACTCTACAGGAAGGCTCAAAGCGTACTCGACGGGGAACGCGCAAGACGCATGGGTTATATGTATAAACATGTATTACTCAAAGCCTTCGACGCGCGTCAGCCAAAATCTAATGGCTTTTATCATGTCATCACTTCTTACGGCTTCTCAGAGTCCGCGTCAAGTAATGCAAAACCGATGGACGCGAAAGCCTTAGCCAGAAACGTAAATGAGAACAAGCTCCGGACATTTATGTCGATTGCCAGCAACCCTGGGGGATAAATCCAGCCTCTTCCACAGTGAGGTGATTCTTTTTTAATTATCCTGTTGACCTTGGCCTCCACGAGGTTCAATTGAACCCACTATTTTCGGTAGGCCGTCTTATGTCAACTTGGACGTGGCCATCTCCACGGGGTGCTCATCGAACGACCCACCATAAAAGACCAATTTTTATACTTTTCCAACCAAAAAAAACATAGATCTCGCTGGCAGCCAAGATTTCAATCTCTCTTACCTCAGCATGACTGAGGCTCCTTTTTCTGACGTGCGCATAGAGCTCCTACCTTTTGTATCATAACTGGCCTTCTAAGCACAATAGTTGTAGCTGCGACGCTTGCGGACGTGAGAAATCTCGGTGCAAGCCGAACCTGTTCGAATTCTCACTATGTTGAAAGTAGATATCTTTACATTACAATACAGTCTGTCGCCATCATGGCAATAAGAGCATGCGACTCTTGAACATCTTTCGCTAGTTTTCTGTGCCGTTAATAAACATTGAGAGCTTGAATTGCATTCAATCCGTCTGACTTAGCTGTTAGATCACTTGCAACATGAATCACTCCAAGGATAAGAATAATTTATTTAAAAAAGGTACCCCTCATAACTGCCCATTGTTGCGCGTGGGATCCTCGCTCCATCTGAAGCGTGAACTTATGTACGGTTATTTTGCTTTTCCAATCTAGGGTGAGAAATTTGCACCGTACGTACCCTCGAAGGGAAGTAGAATTATCGCGTCAGATCTCAGGATGAAATCAGGTCGAGTTTCCATTTACGACAGGTTTGGCTTCTCCAAGGGTTCCAACCAGCACACCATCATTGCTGGAGAATTGTTTAAGGCGAGCGATTACCACTTTTGGTCTGCAGGGAGCCAACGTAGTACCATTCACAACCGACTAATGACGAATGTCTGTCAAGCCTGAGTAAGGGTGAAAGTTGTGGCTATCAATTTTTGAAAGTGAACCACAATATGACACAATACTCCGTATTAGGTGAGTTGGGCATATTACAAATAATAATTGAGCTGCCTTGATCAACGAGTCCTATCACGGAACAAAAAATGCACGTCAAAGATTATGTTGATTATTCAAAATCTTCCACAGAATTTATGTGTTGAATGTCAACACCTGCCCATTGTCTCAATATGTTTGAGAAGTGGCTGCTTCGATTAGATTAGTCGTGTTCTATTTAAAAATTCCATACTCATGGATTTTTCTAAGTCCAGCTATTTTCTTAGCCCCATTCTGAATCCGCTGTTGTCATCAGTGACTGTGAAGAGGAAGAAATGGTATGTTGATGGCGAATTTAAGCAGAATTTGACATTCCACTAACTATCACCACATGTTGAAGCATATATGCTTGATGTGGGCCCTTTCTTCTATTTCTTTTACTATTTGCCGTAACCGAGATATTAAGGTCATCGCCGTCTCGATTTAAACTTCTTTTTAAAACGATGCACTGCCACACATTTGCAGTTTGTTCATCGATAAGTAGGTTATGATTACTATAAACACAAGCCGCATACTGAACAAACCGAATTGTGTATTTTGATTTTTAGTGATATTTTTTTTTATCTCGCGGACGCTCCAGATCTGTATCATAAGACGGTCCATGCATGTCCGGATTCTGACTGACTTCTCATCACAGAAGGAACCATCACAGTGCAGCTCGGCTTCCATTAATGTTTAAATGCGGAGATCATGATACCAAGAGCTCGAACCACCTAATCCAGTAATAGGATCAGTTGCACTTGAACGGTCGGTGTTTGCTTACCGCGATAGAGCTACTGCCCACACACATTTAGGCGGACGGATCCTGGCCGCCCCACCATAATATTTCACGGTCTCGTGACATTGTCACGCGTCACCAATGCCTTCATTCGAATATGATGCTTTTGGCTAGATTAGTTCACGCCATTATGTTGTGCTTTTTTGAAAGCGATACAACATCTTATACGTAATTCCCACATTTATTATATCCGTGACTATACTCAACGCACTGAGTGATTGCTTGACGGTCATCCACTATTCTTGTCACATCGTGAGTCTTCGTCGCTAAATAATACATTAGTAATTGCGGCTGCTTCACATCGCCGCATAAATGACGTATTAAGCGTTCTCTTGCGATCGAATTCTAATAAGCTTAGCTATATTCCTGGTCAGCAATATCAGAAAGACAAGGACTGCGTCGTACTCGAATGACATAATTGGTGAACAAGCTGGAGCAGCACTTCAGCAAAAAACACTTTGGTGACACTGAGTTCAAGTAAAACCTATAACGAGGAAGCTGAGCTAGAAAAGTCGAAACGCGCAGCAGGCTGATTGATTAGTTGTCTGCAAAAGTTACGTGGACATAGGCACAAATAGGAAGGACACTGGTAACTCTCTAGGGTGTAGACACATGCACAGACAAGATGGTGGTTTAATGCGAAATGCATGGCAGTACGAACCGACTGCAATGTGCTGTGATTGCCATCCCAAGAAGAATGATATGATACTTGCTGCTGCATCGTATTCCTGTATCGTTTCCAGTATGAGTAGTACAGTCACGATGCTACATAAATTTAACTCGACGAATAAAAAAAATTCTCGCTGCAGAAGAACAATTGAGAAACGTTGTACAAATCAAAGCTTATTTGTAACTAATAGCTTTCAGAAAGCAGATCGACCGGCACTGCTTGTAGGAATACCTTCACTAAGTGGTTATGGACGATTGCACCATGCTCGTGGGGCATGCATTTACAGGAAGAGATACCCATGCTCGTCATCATTCTTGGTTTTAAGAAATGACAGTTCATAGTTTTTCCCATTGTTTTCGAGATATTTCTCTCCGTTTACTGGTTTTATCGATAATTTGCGGTCGGACTATTCATCTTTATACTTGGTTTGCAAAATGCTAGATGTTGTTGGGTAGCGGCTATAAATGAGAAGGTAATGAAAGAAGCTAGCCAATTATCTCTATAAATACGTCAAATACATTCTTAGCTACTAGAAATAACAGATGCTAAGTTTTGCATCGCTTGCTACCTGCGGTTTATGCCTTTCATTCCAGCAGAGATGTCTTGACGGTCACTCGTACCTCTGTCAGATTATCGGTACTTATCGATAGCTGGTATTTTGGCTTGCTGATAAAAACTATCCGTTTAGATTATTCTAGAAGCTTTTACAAGCAGCCTGATTTTTTATACTAATGAACGACTGTCATTATGTCCGGAATTATGATAGTAACTGTATACATCACTGTAATACTTGTGACGTCATTCACGCACATTCAGCGGTGTATATCAAAACTCCCATTCACCACCAATGTTGACTTTGCTTTGATTTTTGCTTCTTGATGTCTGTCGTTTGAGTAGAAACTTGAGCGTCTTAGTTCCGAGTGCGCTCGGGCTGATGTTTTGTGTCGACGTAGTCTATTTGGATCCTTCTGTATTCATCGTTTTCTCGCATAAAGAGATGCTTATACTTTTTTTCGGCATGATATGGGCCAGTGCTAGTACCCCCCGGTTATCCTCCCAGACTTGCGTTCCATGATTCTGATCGTTGCCCATGTCCTTCAACATCGCGCGCGTTCACAAAACTTCCTGAGTGCACAGGCTGTGTGCCAGTGCTCGGCTTCTGCTGGACTCAGTACCACAGTTCTCCGAAATATGGACTTAAATCACACCGGTCCATTACTGATTTAGTTATCACGCCAGATATAATCGTTTGTCGTCGATAGTGCATTCCCAGTCTACGTCCGCGAATGTATCAACCATGATGTTTCTGGTCCCTCCTTCACCTACAATTCCATGCCGGCGCGTTGAAGTCAAGTACGAATCGGAACTCATCAATGCTGTAATCCAGGAATCGCGAGAAATTTTGATATTTGAGTGACTACGTAGGCAATGTCAGGTCTAGAACATGTCGCTATGTACATGACACAGCCGATGATGGCTTTGTCAGCAATTTTGTAGCTTTTGCATCTGCTCCGGGCAATTGTTCCTTGAAATGTTTGAGATTGGAGACACATGGATTATCGGTCATCTTGGCGTTCTGTTGACTAAATCGTTGGGTAACATGATCAATGTCACGCGATTTCTTGATGTTAACCGTTTCGGCTTTTTTGTCATGTCATGACCAAGCTTCACCCCCAGGAGAAACTCTGCGTCATCAAAGATCTTTCATTTCCAAAGCATTCTTGTGGGTCTTTTTGACTTGACGGATCTCTGTGTGTCTTGGCCGCAATTCTCATATTGTTTGAATCCCCTTTGCAACAAGCCGTGCCTTGTAGCAAATGACTCGGCCGTTCTCATCACGCTTCGTGGTGAAACCGTAATCAAACGAGCCGCTCCGCGCGATACAACAGATCTAGTGCCGTTCTGTTCGTGTGACAAAAGTTTGGTCTTCATTGCTGCTCGCCATGCCACTTGCAACTGCTTCAGCGCATGTATTTTGAATGTCAGGAGCCACGTCGATATTTGCCGCATACGCCAACACTGCTACGCAAAGTATTCTATCTTATTTGATTCGTAGGCGCTTTGAAAACGGTAATTTTTTGCTTCCTTTCGATCTTCGTTTATTTTCCAGCTCCAAGCCGTGTTTCAGTAATAAAGATGGCCCTGGAGAACGACTTGACCACTTCTTGCACGGGCGAAACACTAAAAGGCTTTCCTCAAATATTCTCGATAAATAATTTTCTGTCAGCTCTTGCCTGAGTTACTATCAGATCTTTTATTGCAGAAGGTCTTCTCAGATTAACATTGCGCTCTTATTCGACCTCATACACTTGTGTAGACTTCTCGACACTGTCATAAGTTCGTCTATCATAGGCCGTTGCTCAGGAGGGAAAATGGGTCGCCTTCTAAAACATTTCCGTGTAAACATGGGTTACTGATTCTTTTCTGAACAGTGTGTGTCGTATATACCGTTTACTTTCATGCCCATCAAGCTGAACAGATCGTGTCATCTTGATCTTTGATCATTTCATCATAAACACGATAGCGCTTCGCGTTTCCAGCTTATCCAAGAAGCATACACTAATAGCTCTTAGGATCGAGCTTCGTACTTTTAGCGCTGTCAACGTGAGCATATCGTTGGGACCCATACACATGCAGGTGTTCCATTCCTTGTTTCCCCATGAAAAATACATCGTATGGCGTCATGTCCCTTCGTTCGGTGCTCGCAGATATATTAATTAAAAAGACTGCAGTAATTACAGCTTCCACACACCAAATCATTAGAATGACCTTGTAATAGAGCATGTTGTTTGCCCTCTCGATGATGGGTTCCGCCACACCATTTTGTTGGAGGATGTAAGGTACAGTCCGCTGGTGCTCGGGAGGACAAAACTGTGATCTTCTTGTTTACGAATTTTGTTCCATTGTCAGATCAAATGCATTTAATTTTCTCTCCCCATTGCTTCTCGAAAAACGTCTTGCATTCGGCGAGCTTCGCGGTGACCTCACTTTGACTCTTCAGAAAGTAAGCAACCACGAGACATGAAAAATCATCGACTGATGTTAGCACATTTCTTGCTGCTCCTCTCGATACCGTTGCATGGGTTCCCACACATCCGTTTTAACTAACTCCAACAAATGCGGTATCCTGGGTATTGAAGGCGAAGGGAACGGCAATATCCCCTTCATACACCGACCGCGTAAAAGCTGTCATACCATGTATTATATGCTGAGTTTTGACCATCATGCTCTCACTTGAATGCCCCATACGCGCGTGGCACAGCTGTCACGGATTGTCAGCACCGGCGTACTCCACAATCAAAGGATGTAAGCTTTGCCGACCATTTCACCCAAAGGCATTGCCTTGTTCTTGCAGCAAAAAAAAACCGTGAAGTCGAATTTGATCTTGATAATACGACCTTGGGTATCAATGTGACCATTGTAGACGTCAAAAAATTCCGTGTTCATGGCAAAGAAGCTGTTTAGCTGACTGAGATGGATGGTAACCACATCAGGATTCTTGATGTTATGTACTCGCTAGACGGCTTCTATCGGAAGGAAAGCTTGCAGAGCGTGATTTACGTGCGGAGGTTCAACAAATTCCATGAATGGTGTCTATGCGATGTCATACCGCTATCGATCAATCCAATTTTTACCAGCAGCAAATACCGCGTCTTCATCAGTGCCATCACTTCCGCCTGAGCAGGATCATTTCATGTGTCCTACTTGATTACACTTGAAGCACTCTCCCTTAAAATCACCTATACTCTTCCTTGAATTGTATTTTTTTGTCCATGTCCACGATTGCTTCTAAACCGCCCACCGCTTTCGTGAACAGGAGCTTCATCCTCCGTCGCCCCCATCTTTTGCAACCACTCATGCTCATTCCACAGCTTCTCCTTGACCTCGATGAGCGTCATGTCATTGGCATTTTCACAATCAGCTCATAATTTGTCGGGAGGCTACTCAGCAGTACTACTAGCTGTCGCGATTTGTCAACGGGCTTTTCAAGTGACTGAAGTCCGACAAAAAATTCGTCAAATGCACCCGGACTATTGGACATCAAGCTAATCTCCATCGCAGGCGGCATTCATCTCGACACGGTTGTGATGCAGTGGTACGATTGCAGAATCTCGTAGAATACTCTAAGCGTGCATAGCCGTCGACGCATACCGAATCTTGGTCTGATGCTGTACCTCGATAATCCGAGGGATGGTCCCCAGTGCCTTGGCTTCGATGAACAGCCAAGGCTCCAGTATCTCCCTTCTTCCCTCTTGACGACTTGAACATGCGCCAGCGTCGCGCGCATAATAAACTACCAGTAAAAGTAGTAAATTATGAGGACCTCGGTTTTCTTGAACTGCATAGCTGTAGGAGTGATGCGAGCCGGGTATTAATCTGTTGTTTTGTTGGTAAAAAGCAAGTTAATATATCTAGGTCTTTTGTTCGCTACCCTGAACTCTATCCAATAGTACCCATCTAGACTATTCTAGAAACTTCTACACGCAACCTTATTCATCTCGATCAATGAATGACTGCCATAATGTCCGTAATCAGTATCTGTAGTCAGGACAGTAACTTTAAACATTAACGTATCACTCGAAACATCATCCTCGCACATTCAGCGATGTATCTCAACATGGTACGATTGTGCTGTACTGTACAACACATCCAAGTCCGGCCAAGTACAAAGACGTGGTATTCAACAAAATTTAGCATTTCGTGGTGACTTCTGATGAAAGGGGTATTAGCAAGATTCACACTCCAGGTACCAATGAGGGTGGTGTTTTCAAAACAATAGGCATGTTTTGCAACTCCACTGGTGTTGGAATACCGACAATTGAGCCAGGTCAACAATTAAAGTAATGTAAGAATACTAAGTACGGTCTGAAGCATTATCTCGCTTGAAGTTTACAATTGAGGTCTTGAAGCGATGGTGCAGAATATGCGGCATACACCTTAAATAGAAATCTAACGAAGGCAATCACGATAAGAATCTCGCTTGTAAAGATTTTGACGAGTAGGATCCCGATTCTAAGCGACAATATTGCTCTGGCTCGCCATACATCGTAAAAGCACAGTCCAAGAACAATTCTTTGGTTGGCCGAGAAAAAGCTGCGACTGAAAGACGAAACGAAGAAAAACAGAATTTACATCCAAATGATGGAGTAGCGATCGTCAATACGAATTATGCGAGGAACATGATGCGAACGAAAAAACAATTCTTGATGATACTGTGGCTCGTGAGGGATCAAGGTAAAGAATTGATTGTGCACTGAAGTCGAGGTAATATGGTACATATTTTTTTTCGACGCAGGATCTAAGGCTATCATGATGATCGTATCATGTCATCAATATCCAAGACGCTCATGAAAAGTATTAGATTGTCCTTTAACATGTAAATATCGCAATTAAGATTGTTTTATTGCGGTACAAAATTTGCTTAATCAAAACGTTGTTACTGTTGCTACTAAGCGTGGACCATACCACGCTGGCAGCAACTCATCACCCATCGGTGACGCTCAACCTTGATGACGGCTCACCATTATCAAGGCTCTGAGGTTAACGGCATTCTGGGTATGATGACCACAATCCTGGTGTTTGGTTTACGGTCCTTAGTAGTAAACACTGCTTGTCTAGATGGTGACTGCTCCTAAATCTACAAAATCTCACTTTCCAATTCGTGCTCCTCTGCTCAGTTTTGCTTCAAGTTCCTCTTCATTCGTTAAAGTTACTCATCTCCACATCCATTATTAGCACGTTTTTCAGCGCAAACAAAACCCGTTTTCCATTAATAATTGAAATAAAACTTTCCTTCAGATTTGTTTTGAAATACTTTTTTTCCACATGATAAACATCAGAGAGTCATATTGATTTCTCAGGACCTACCGCTGTGATGTTGCAGCTGTGATCTTAACGCCCCGCTTTTTGGCTTTCCTGATATTTTTATGTCGCTCGCAGATGTCATGAACTCACTTGTGGAGCCTGCTGGTTCCTCAAGGCAGACCAAAACCACTTATTTTTTACTACTTACAATGCTTTATATGTTACTATGTCCTGAATTGTCAGCCAAATATCAACCTTTTCACGGGGCACTTAGATTGAAATATGGCAACAAAATGGTACTTTTCCTGCATGTTTTCTTTCACGACATTGTTCGCCATGGCTGAGAAAAATGTGCTGATTCTTCAGCTTGCCAAGCAAAAAATCTGTACGATACACATTAAAATATGAATAACAGTGTCAATCATCCACATCATTAACGAAATGTTGCAAAATCAATTTTCTTCTCCACAACGGTCATCAAATATAAGTAATGGTGCATTTAATTGTGGTGTGGACACTTCAGTTTCATGCCTTGAGCTGAAGGTTTTTGTTTGCAAAGATCCAGTTCACGTGGTGTTGCGTACTTCAAAATCGTTTTTCAAACTACTTTCGATATGTTGCTGCGCTAAATGTTGGCACAGAATATCAACTCAAATTTCCTCGCCCCAGGTGGAATTTACAAATCTAACTTGTCGAAATTCTCGCTCCACTTGAAATGCTACCCAGTGCTTTTTTCCATCATACTACGCTATCCCAGTCATCGCTGTCCATTCTGGTTCTTCATAATACCCTGCATATTGGGCTCCGCAGGATAAATCATCGCCATGCCCGCCGGTGCTTTTTAATAACGCTTTTAAATATGGTATGACAGTCTTTTAGCACCAAAATATGTCACAGGCGACGTGATTGGAGCTACTCTTGGGAACGGGGTGCGATCGAATGCTCAAACATTCATCCTCCTTCTTCCGCCCAGGCAGAAGCTAAAAAACTCGACTCAACTAAGTCTTTTTCATTGTGTAACTCCTCCAATCTCCCAAACTTCTGATTTAAAATCGTTGGTATAGCTTGCCTTGACTAATGAATTTTGAAGACTTCTGCTTTCCATGAAGGCGGTCAATAATAATTGTTTCTTACATCGAAACAAAAATTTGAACATCTTCTCTTCTCTTCTTTCTCTCTTCAGCTAATTCACAAACATTTACCGCTCGAGCTGCTCTAAATGGTGAAGCTGAAACATCGAATCGCGTCATTCCTATCAGACGTTGTTGGTGTTGTACTTGTGGAAGATAAGAAAAAATCTGAAGTGAATATAGTTTTTCGATCATGTCTAAGCCTGGGTAGTCTATTTCAAGCTACTAGTAATGTCAAATTCGAACTCTCGTTATCGCTTGTCAGCTGTTGAGCTCTGCCTAACTACCGGCATTTATGTCTTGATCGTCACTTGTCATGACTTACCAAAACATGGTAAGATTATTGGGACTGATAATGTTCTTGACTTAGTGCCTTCTGTTATGAATGTCAAAGTGGAATGAGAGCGAATGAGATAAGCAAGAACTTACACCTAGCGCTACTTTCCAATTACTGGCTAAGAATCAGCTAATACAAGTCTGCAGGATTAAGCAACACCTAAGTTCCTATAATTCAATTTATATAAACAATATGGATTGGATTTCAAACAATTTTAGTACTCAATTAGAAGTTTGAGATTTCATTGATATTTACATTTTATGCAGAAGCTGAAGAATCCTGGTTAGCAAAATTTAAGCATGAAGGTGTGAATCGAGGTCCGAGCTCATAACCAACCACTCATTCAGCACATCTCCAAGTAGCAAATGTTCATCACTTTCGACATTCGTATAATTCGAGTCATACAGAAAAACATGTACCGAGCTTTCAACGAAAAATGTTGTGATCTGGGAGCTCACATCCCGATACGAATTCAGAATTGTGCTTATGTTACTGAAGAAAACTTCTTCCGAGATCAAATCTGGAAACGAAAAATCCCGAATTCCTTCCTCCACGAGCGCATAAAAATAGCGCTGAATCGTGTCTCCTTTGCTGTTGATGAAAAACCAATGACTTTCAGGCTGTGCTTTTAATAGTGATGTGACCACCTCGACCGTAGTGACCGTTCCGGCTTCGCATGCTGCCACAATGTCGTCAGAGAGCTCAAAGTTGTTAGAACATGCGCCATAGGTGATCAAAAGCTTAGCAGCAGGCTTTTCATCCGGGACAAACCCGACGTAGCTGTCCGCTAACACGGAAAAACTGGTTTCTTCGTGGTCGATGTCCCACATCTCAGCGATTTTAGCACTGTAAGCTTGGGCTGCAATTGATCCACTACTTTCTCCACCAACGATAAAGTTTTCCACGTCTGGGTAGTTTTCGAGTGCCCAGTTTAGGACTGCTATCGTATTGTTGTACCCGTTCATGTGCATGGGGTAATTGAGCCCAAGACACTGCGTATTACCCAGTTTTGACTCTTTTCCGCTTTCGTATGGCGTTGCAACTCGATTGCCAAGGTGCAGATCACCTGTGCAGTACGGGATGAAGACAATGTTCCAGTCATTAAACATATTGTCCGAAAGTGAGCGATCAAGTATTCCCGCACTGCTCAAAGTCGCCGCAGTTCTGAAGGTAGCTTCATCGGCCAGTGAACACTGCAAGCCAAAAGTACACGTTTCTTGGTCGACACAAGCACCACCTCCTTGAAAAAATATCATCAGCTTCGACTTGTCCATTTCTTTATTTGGAAACACTTGAAACAGGAATGTTGAGTTCGATGAATATGCCGTTTTTAAGTCCACGTAGTTGTCGAAAGCACAGCGCGAATTTCCACCGGGAAAAATAATCACACTGCCATCGTCTTCGGAAGGCTTAAGCAAGTCGATGGAGCATGGTTCGGAGTCGCTGAGCTTGCAACTTGATTCGGCCGAGGATTGAAGCACAGAGGAGAGCGTCGTCGTTGCGGCGAGAAGTAGGGTGGTGGCGTTTTTAATGCGAAAAAACATTGTTTTGATGGAGTTTGAATCGGACGAAGAAGAATCAAAAATGAGTATGAAAGCGGAAAGTTCTTTCAAAGTTGTCAAGGATATAAATCTCCTTTCTAGTAACCGATAGATATGAACGTCTGTCCTTTCGTCCGAGACATTCCCTTGTGATATACGACGTAGCCTGTACGACATTACTATCGTGTAATATGTAGAAAAGCTAGGAACCGAATGAAGTTGGTCATACAATACATAATTTTTACCGCTAAGTAAGGTCGAGTGGTCAAATTGGCAAAGAGGGTGCCATCTATAGGCTACATTAAGTTTCGGCGGTCCGTACGATCAGGTTGTTCTGGTGGTTTTAGACAACTACTACACTTTTCTACCAGCCCAATCATAAAGCAGCCAAGGATGATTTAGTGACTGACAGAGATACTGGTTAAGTGAATGATCGTGTGGCAGTTTCAGAGCAGTTTTCTTTTGACTTAGCCACGATCCGAATAGTATACGTTATGCAACTGCATTGAGTTAAGAAATCTGGTAGAAGAATGCAAAGCGTTTCCAGACTAGGGCGAGATATCTTTCATAGAGGCACCTGCTCGAATATGTCCTCTTGAAAAAGACAACGTTGTAAGAGAGGATGCAGTAATGATGGCGACGATAAGAAATAAACCGAGAAAGTCATAAGCATACCCAATAGACGGTCGTACGGCTTGCCATGCACATGTCGACCAAGATCGGATCAATTATAGTGGAACCGTGTAGACGGTCGACTACGCTGTTTAGTAGGTTCATGCTAAGCGTAAGTCACAACAAAAATTATCAGCGTAGACGTCAGCCAACACGGCTAAGAGCGTAAGCCTGGTGTTTTGACAATAGATTACCAAATGTTATCAAGTACACATGCTTGAAATCTCTTCGCATCTATTGATAAACTCGAAGATTAGTTTTCAACAATGAAAAGTTCTTGCAGCTTGATAGGTTGCGTTCCAGGTGATGAACCATTTAAATGCCTTACATCTACCTCTGCCGCTTTGAAAATTTGTTAGGTCCATACGCATTCTTTAACCAAAATGCTATGTGAAGACCTGATACTGTCTATCAGTACTAGTATACCGAAACGATTGCGGTGCCAGAGCTTCGTTCCGGAACATATGAAATAAACTAACGTGGTCAATTTTACTCTAAAATAGTTAGTGGTTCATATAGATTCTTTGGACGTGGCCTAAAGTGACATCTGACATTCTAGGACGTGCCACTGTCGGTCAGAAACACGCTGCTGAATGTTTAGTATAATCATTTAATGAAGAGACATTGATGTTACGTAAATCGCTCTTTGCAGAAGGAATTCGAGCCGAGATTTTTTCTGGACTATACCAGAGTATAAAAGGAATTTCGAATTTTGTACACATAAAATTAGGATCATCATATATTGGTATAGTGTACATGTTGTGTTTAATAGAGACCAAGGAAAGACACAATGGACCCCCCGTCGACTTCTCGACTCCGTCGGCGGAGTTTCTTTGAAGGCATGGAAAGTGAAGGGTCTAGCACTGAAAGTGTCACACTCAATGAAATTGATGTGGCGTCTGTAGCATCAGTATCCACTTCGCTCGGCGACAATGAGAGCTACGGCGTAGTGAATCCGTTGGTGAAACCAGGCAAAGTGTCTCCAGCGAAGCAAATTGGAGCTAAAGTATCATCTGATGATCAAGATTCTTTGCAATTATCTCATATTACGAGACAAGGAAAGCAGCGTGGCCTTAGGCTAGTGCAAGACTCATGGGGTCAAGTACTGCTCTGGCTACAAATGTTATACGACATGTGGGCAAGTAGATTTCCTATTGCTGCGTCTAAAGTAGACGAAGTAAGACAAATGTTCCGATGGTTGTGGAAAGGACCACCGGAATGGATTAAAAAATGGAAGGGAGACCCGTCAGCACCAATCAAGTATTGGGTCTACCCTACTCATTGGCTTACGTACGCATCCTTGAGTCTTGTGGTTATTCAAATTCTCATTTTTTGGAAATTTCAAACAGTGTTCTTTCATTTACGCGTTCATGAGTGCGTTTTTCATGAAAGATTATTAGCATCAGTAAATTTAATGCAACCGGTCCCTACCACGCATGTACCACCTGGAGCAGTAGCATTGAGGTTCTTAGAACGTCGCTTTGAGCAACTGTACAGTCCCGGAGCACGGCAACCTGGTCAAGCCAGACTTCCGAGGACGTGCTTGGCGATAATTCCTACTGGAAGTGATCAAGCCATGGCACAAGCTACAGAATTAGCGTTTCTATGGCCGAGAAGTCAAGTGGTGGCTACCAATGCTTATTCCAAAGTTGCAAGTATAATTCATGTTGCAGTGGGTGCTAGTCCACTTGAACGAGAGACAGAGACACGGAGTGCCACAGATGGCGTGTTTGCTGCATTGTTTCCATTAAATGCGATCCGTCCAGCATTATTCGCTCCTCGATTCCCAGATTTAATTCTAGTGAAGACAGAGTTTGCATTGCGACAGATGCTAAAGTTTCGACAGGAGCAACAAGAAAAACGGGATCATAGAGGCAGAGCTGGTGGAAATCCACCAAGTGCATTAGGACGGCCCACTTTGGTTGAAAGTGGTACCTCAGACCTCGCACCAAGCCATTTTGGGGTTTATCTCCTGAAAACCACGGTGCCAGATGTATATAATCGAAACATTCGTAAGAAGTGGGACGAGTTTTTGCATGTTGTGGTGGTGAGTGACACGGACAAGAAAGAACAATATACAGAAGAATTACTTGCAGCGTGGGTGGCACATCCTGAGTGGCCTATACTTCACGTTCGCTTTGAGCAGTCATTAGCTTTGTGTGGGTCATTTCAGCGCATTTTAAGCAGTATGCTTAAAAACTACCATGCTAATGTCGAAGGTGCAGAAGCTGCTGAAGCTGCAGCTGCAACTGGCCAAGCTGCTGAAGATTGGCTACAGCGCTTCAACAAACTTGAGAAGCCGACGAAGAATCCGACGAATAATCTGCTCGAGCGTCAATCAAATGTAGATTTGGTATGCAGTAAAGAGGCTAATGGACCGCAAGAAATCGTGAGGCTTAAAAATACGATTGGCATGCATTTATTTCCTGTTCCGCCTGAGTTGGAAAAACATGAAGAAAAGATACTTGAGAGTTTGGCTGTTGGCGCTCTCACTGTGACTTATAACTCACCAATTATGCAAGAATGGGTGCCTGATCGTTGTGGCTTGCGTGTTGGCTCATTTCATTTTGATGGATCGACGGGACTAGGAGCTGCTGAGGTAATTTCTGAAGAATTAAAGGAAACTTTAGACAATCCAGATGATGGAAACGATGTACTTGTGAAGCTTCCAACTGTGCGCGTTACATCAAGCGATATTGAACAAGCAATTACGCAATTATTGACGATTGATCGAGTAAGTCGTGTGGCAGCAGGACGAGCAGCGCGTGTTCACTACCTTCGGATACGAACTCATTATTTGTCGGCCATTGCAGCTTTGGATACCGCTGCTTGTGAAGGAGATAGTGATGATATTAGTGGAACACAAAGCGAGATTGGACAGCATCGACGTAGAAAAGTGGAAGTTGAAACACTTCGTGCTTTTTTGTATTAGGATCAAGATTGTAACTTTGTCTTTTTGTAACTTAACTCTTAGGCTTGAATTACTGAGCTAAGTGAAGCCTTTTTATAAGGCGTAGCCTCAAATAACGTCTGACCATGTAATAAATGATCACTCGTAACACCTTAGTATTGTGCACAATTCTTAAAAATAGAGTCCAATTAACAAATAATATGTAGATTTTAGCTTTTAAAACTACATTTTTAATATATCTTACTTATATTGCTTAAATTGTGTAGTATAATGTTATAGTGAAAAGTCTGTGGTAGGAGTTCACTGACCAAAATTCTCTTTTGGCGGTTGCCAGTGTCAGCATCGCTCGATGATTCCAGCGATCAATACGGCCCCCGTCATGACGTGCAACTCGTCGCGTACCACTACTTCACCTGTTTTGATGAATAAACAAACTGCCACATCAGCTGTGACCACAGCATCTCCCGCCGTACGCGCTTTATGGTCAGGTGCCGTAGCAGGCATCGTGGCCGATTCATTACTACACCCGTTGGAAGTGATCAATCTACGTATGAAAATTCAAAAGCAGCCAAGCTCGAAATATAGTAGCATTCTGCGCTCTATTCGCACAATATTAAAGGAAGAGGGTGTGCGGGGCTACTTTGGCGGTCTTAGCACGACATTGCTGGCCTCACCCGTTTGCACTGCAATGTACTTTGGAACATATGAGACGCTCAAATCAATTGCTGCACCTCATGTTTCTGAAGAGCAACGCGGAATGGTTTATTTTTTGGCTGGAGCGATGAGCGAGGCAATTATTTCAGCTGTTAGTGTACCGTCTGAGGTCATTAAATCACGGCTCCAACTTGGATGTAATCCTCGCAATGCCAGTGGTGGTGCCGTCAAATACACGAAGAATTACAGAGGAACAGCACACGCAGCCAAATCAATTTTGAGGTCTGAAGGAGCACGAGGACTTTATGTTGGATACTCAGCATGCTTAAGTGTGGAGACGTTTTTTTCAGCGTTTTCGTTCCTGTTTTACGAGACACTTAAGGATAGATACCAGCGATATTTGGCATTGCAAAATAAGGACCGACAGTTAAATTCGATCGAGTCTCTCACAGTCGGATCATTAGCGGGTGGAATCGCAGCATTTCTGACCAATCCACTGGATGTCATTACGGTTCGCCTTATGACTCAAGGAAAGAATAGATCATACACGGGATTTCGTGATTGTTTAATCAAGTCTGTGGGTACCGAAAATCTGGGAGTTCTATGGCGAGGTGCTTCATGCCGAATTGTGTCTATCATGCCTACGACAGGCATCTGTTTTGGTGTGTACGAGACGATAAAGCACACGTTTTTTGATGGTGACCTGGAGGACTTTAGTTCTGATTAGTGAAGTACTGGTGTCAATATAAATATGCTCATATGTACCATGCTGAAAGAATGCTATTCCAAACCAATTATTGCTAATGTTAAGAAATCAAATATCGGAATGTCTATGTTTCAGCACTTCAAGAAGGTGCAGCACATCACTGTAAGAACTTACTATCCCCTGCTTTGTGTGAAATCTTTGATATGATGCATTTTCTCTTTAAATCAAACCTTCTACGTGCGCTTAAAATGGTCTTCATCGATGGTCGAGTAGACATGACCTTCGTTCATGAGATAGTTTAATGCACTTCGCAATTGCTGCTCCGTGATCTGACTCTTCAGGTTAGTATATATCTGATCAATCTTCAGTCCACAATTACTGGAGCACGTGCCTAGAACATCCAAAATTGCTTTTTGCTCTGGTGAGAAGGTAGAATCCATCAAACCGTCTTCCATGCCACCTCCATGAATTTCTGTTGCTGGTTGATTCCAATGGTTGACAGCCTTGGTTGGCGTATTAAACGACGTCATAGTGACATCCGCCTTACTACCATGGAGTGGTCCCTTGGTATTGTAACAATGTACATAGATTACTTCCAATAAATGATGTGTCAGCTCGTTCATATCTTCAATTGTACCAACACTAAAGCAAGAAAGACTCGTCTTTCCCTGGAAGCTACGCAATTTGCCCACCACTCGCACGTAACTTCCCTCCCTTAGAACGGCCTCGCTGGTGTCTTCGTCGGCATTGACAAAATATTGGCAGTCAAAAGCTCCAGAGCCATCATCCAATTGAAAACGCACACTTGTTGACTGTGGTGTAAGGTTAGTGAGTAATCCCACGAGTCGCACAGTCGACAACTCCTGGCCATCTAGCCGCAGATCATCGTCCCCCGTGTTTAACGATTGCAGCTGCTTGACAGTCACGGGAAAGATGCTCTGTGCACCTAAACCACGTTTATTTGGTGTAGCCTGACTTCCTGATGGCTGACTGGACATGAAACCACCCCCATTACCACCGTAGTCGTCGTTGCCGTAAGCTTCATAGCCACCACCGTAGTTCATGACTGGATCAACAAAAATAGCGCCGATGTTGCAATTATTCCGCAAAAATACTAGCAATCAAAAGTCTCCTTTTTGCTCTACTGATTTTTTTTGATAAATGTATTGTATATGATTTTTTAACATCCTTATGCTTCTATGACTAAAACAAGAATCGGGCTTAGTAAAATCTAAATACATGCATGTGTCGTATTCTTATTTGGGTGCAGTTACACCATGCCTATCTGGTGTAACACACACCCCTGTTATCAGGGTACGTGTAACCCCGTTACACAAACTCAAAAAGTGTGTCGACCGCTATGTGTCAGGTCATCAGCCGGCGGTTGATTTAATCTTGTGCCAAGTTTATTGAAGAAAATTCGCAAGAACGTCAAAATCTCGATCAGGGAAAATCGTCACCATGTGGGAATGAATCTTAAATAAAAAGACACCGGCTATATATTTCCCGACCTAAAACTTCAACTTTGCTAATACAATCTGCAACTACCTAAATATTGAGGAATTCTAGAGACAAAATTTATGCTAGTGGATTGCCAATTGCCAAATGCACTTTGACAACTATGTAAGAAGATCTGTACATTTTAATTAGCAATCGCTCTCACACGAGCAAGTGGAGACTTATAATCGATCAAAATAGCGACACAGTGGAGGGACAAGATGCAGCAGAGCACTCTTCACCAGGTGCAGCAGAACACTATTGACCAGAATGGTGTTGATGATGTGGCGGAAGAGGCTTATCACCAGGTGGGGGAAGTGGCTGGTCAACAGGTGGCGAAAGAGGCTTGTCACTAGGTGCCCCACCAACAGGAGTCATATCAGGCGGAATGGCATCGGGAGATCCGCGAAATGCAGGAACGTTGTCTTTCTTGTTTTCAAAGTGTTTGCTTGCAGCATTTGCAAGTAATGTGATATACTCTTCATCCGAGACTTGTTCTGCTTCGTGAATATAGTCCAAAGTGCGTTGTATTCCATACTGATTGACCCATTGATTGACCATCTCTCTGTATGGATCATATCCATTCGAATGCAAGAATAAAATTATGAAAGGAGTCTCTTGTTCTAAGACTGGATTGAATGGATATCTTTTCAGGTCATTGGTCTTCGGAATGGAAGAATGCATCGATGAGACTGGTGCAATAATTGGTGTGTTCAAATTATTTTTATCGATTTGAGTTGGTGACGCATGTGACTTGCCAAGCATGAACTTTTCTTTGTCTTCAGGGGTTGGAAGGAGCGCATTGCCAAAAAATTTCTTGGCATGACCCAAGATTAAGTCATCTTGAATGTCTTCCAAAATGGCCATCACGTCCTCGGAAATAGCCTTCGCATCACCATTGAATGTTGACGTGTCAATCATCGTGCTGTCGACAATCAGTTGCACATCTGATCTCACCTTAGATACAATTTCTTCAACAACAGCTTTTTTTGAAGAGCGATACCATTTTTGGATAATGTTGTTCTCAAACACGTTCTCAAGTTTGTTGTCACGAAAAGCCTTGTCAAGTATCGCTGTCTTGATTCCTTTTATCAAGGGTGTCGAGTCCAAGGAAGTCTCTGTCTGTATCATGGAATCGATCAGCTTGTTCGTATCTTGATTCGCCAGCACCTCAACCATTATGTTGTATCCCTTTTTAGGCTCATCTTTATAGACGTCATTGATGACACCAGACCAACGCTTGAACGGTTCGCTCACGAATAAGTTCTCCTTCACACTGCCTAATCCGTAATCGTGAAAGAGGTTTGTGGCGACCACCACTGGATCTTTTGCGTATTTCATATGCAAACTTGGATTCAACCATTTGACCAACCATGTTCGTGCGATTTTCCCCCAAATGGCTCTGAAAAAACGTACGAACCATCCTGCCTGAGCTTCACCAGGGACAGGCCCAATTCTCTCTTCAATTGACTCCAATGGTTTTGCATTTACCGTTAGCGTCTTTGTGAATTACTGATTTGTCACCAACTCATTTCCAGGAGTTTGTACATCTGCGATGTCAGGCTCAGTGCATGCAACGATAGCAACGCTCGCAAACAGTAGAAAGTGAAGAAACTTCGGATGGTTACTCATAGAGTTCATTACGATCTGAGCTCTAAAAAATTGTGACTTGTTGAATGACTGGCTGGATCATCGAGCAAGATAGCCAGATGCTGGATTGCAAGCTTGGAATTAGATGTATATTGAATACAAAGAAAGAACATTGCCAACTCTCGTCCATCCGATCTTATACTCACATTGTAATTTAAGTAACTAGTTCATATTTCGAAATAGTATTTATCCTTTTTGTCGACGTAAACTTGAAGCATTCTGTAAAGAAAAACAGATAAAGCGTTCAGAATGTTTACAACTTTCAAGGTTTTGGAGAATGATATCTAATTTTTATACTTTCTGGTCTGAGAAATTTGAAATCATATGCTCGTACATCCAGTGCAAAGCAACCCACTGAGTCAATGAACTTGCAGAAAGTCTGAAAAAGAGTCGCTGCTCGTTGTTCCTGTACTATGTTCATCTCATACATCGACTAAAGTCCAATTTTTCATACTGACACCCGCTCTACTGGAGATTCGAACCTACCCTATGCATATCATCGGATAAAATTAAGTTAGCACTCTTTGCAAATATACTCCAGGTCTACCGACGCATTATGACGGTGGTGAAGATAACGTGCTTAACGCTGGAAGTTACAGCGACTGTAGACATCGATCCATAATGCCAGACTCACTATTTATGATATTTTTCTTTGATGAACCCATTTAGACTATAAAAAAAGTAAGTTTTTCAACAAGTTTCTGAGATGTTATGTCAAAATTTCAAGGCGACTCGCCGCAAAGATCCCAACACCATTTACTTCTGCTGATCAGGCTGTGAGCCAACGGAGGGCAATGCATCTCCATAAGATGGGAGCACTTTTAAGCCGTGTGGTGGTGTATTTCTGGTCGGGTTTCGCCTTTCCAAAATTGGATCCGGATATACCTGGCTCGAAAATTGACGTTCCCCATCATCGTCAATCCGGCACATGGGTGGAGTGACACACTAATTTACTGGTCTGATAAACGTTCTTGTTTATCAGACCAGAGGTACGTTCTTGTTTATCAGACCAGAGGTACGTTCCTCTGGTCTGAATTTGACAGCAAATTCCTTCCAAAAGCGTGCTGATAGGACTTCGATCAATGCAATCCCGAGAAAGTAAAAAATCGTATTCAAAGTAGACAGATTTCCTCCTGTGTTGCGAAAATGTAAAAAAAAATTTGGATCGAATAGTAATTTTGTGCCCTGTAATCTTCCTCCACATACATGTAACCGTCCTCAATGGTGCGCGATTTGGCTAGTTATAGGCCTTAAGTAGAGTCCCTTGGTGTACGTCCGTCTGTTGAACGGTCTCGGGCTGACAGGCCAAAGGACTGTAAGCCCAAAATTAAAAAAAATATCCAAAATGTGTGACGCATAATGCTTTATTGCTTTTGAGCAAGGCAACATTTTGCAGGCGCCCTTACACTCCAACCGGCTATACTGTGACACCCAGTACTTTCCACTCCCTTACCTATCAGACACCAGATTCCAGCCGTCATTAATCGCCCAAGCAAAGATACACGCTGGCGACTACGACCGCAGTCATTTCTTGTCATCTCAACCGTGATAAACACTCAGGACAGCGATACACATTCGCGCTTTAACAAGACCTCGGCTTACTGACGCTTCCGCCATCCGAGATCTTCACGGAGAAATTTGCAAATCCATTGGTCAACCCGGACTACATCACGTCCTGCACAGAAGCTGTAACAGCGTTAAGAAAGTTTGATCAACCGTGCCATCTGTTGTAGCAGGGCTGCCGCAGCTCAGAGGAAGCAAAGCTAAGGTCACCGACCTTACGTTCTATACTAAAACCAGTATGAGTGTAGCGGATCTTAATCCGCTTACTCATGAGTAACCACAACCTTAACCCAAGGCAATATACTCTTCCGTTCGGAATGTGAACTGTATTTGTTTGTTTTATTTGCATCAAAGCCGTCTATGCCTGAATCTATAGGTACTTTTAATTAAATAATAAACTAATATGTGACCATCTTGTGTGACCCAGTTACACTCTCCTCCATCAAAATTGTGAATATCCACAATTCACATGAAACTGTCGCCTCATACGAGGCTCACATTTCTAAGACACCTCTACGACCTCAGGACTTTCTTCACGCCCATAATCCCTTTGTGTAGGACCAAGCCTCACCGGCACTGAGAGCGACAACGGGCAGAGCCATTCGTTGTCTCCCGCGCGTGGTGAACTTCGGACAGCACGTTCGCGGCATCAAAGAAAGCGCATCTTAAGCCCTCGGCAATCGAGCACCGTACACCGCGCCCGCCACGGGCTACGGATAAACCTGTCAAGGATTTGGAGGAAGTCGACTGCGAATCGGATACTCCTTCTCTAGGTTGAGAAGAAGAGGAGGGCAAGGAGCGCCAACGGCGCAACGTGAGCCCTGCTCGAAGCTTGCGAGCACCGTGTCCGTTTTCCGACCTCTCGGCTTCCATAAGAAGTGGTATCATTATTCATCGTCTTGACGAAGCATAGGAACAGCAGCTGGAGGCTGCCCGCGAGGAGGCTAATGCGCGCGCATCCACGGTCGGTCCAGAATATTCGTTTCTTCCGCTTGGCGGATTCCGCTACAGGAGCGAAGTACGCGATCACTCGCTCATTGAGCGTATACGTGGTCAAGCCCCCGGCTACTACACAAGTTGAGCTTGACCGGGTGGCTCTAAATGAGTTGGTCTGGGTCGGCGGGGTTATCTTAATGTGCAGAATTCGGTTGTGCAGGAGCCGGGAAATCGAAAGTGACGCGCGACTGAGAGAGTCCCTCTATAACCCGTCAAATTTTATATCCTATGTCTGCCGCCGTGCGATTCTGAGAGATTCTCACGCTGTGCGGGATCCCAAAAATTAATGATACCTGGAAAACATTTGACAAACTCACCAAAGACCGGGTGAGTTTTCAGCTTTTGTTGCACCTTGCACAGTCGTTAGACTGCGTCCCTCGCGAGTAGAGGTCGTTGGAGGTACCAAATGCGAGCAAAAAAAGTCGCGTGGATCACCTGGAGCGCTGTAAGCGTCCGTGTGGGTTGTCGTCTGTCGAATAGACACCGATCGCAGTCGGACCTATGCAACCTTACGGAGAACGTGCCAGATATCGCCAACTAAATCATCGCAAACTTCCAGTTATGCGTACTGACACTTTTTTTTATTCAGAGTAATAATTAGCCATGTTGGATGCTCAACGAAGAGCGGCGATACCAGCTCGAGCACCTGCAAACAGCGCTGCGATGGGAACACGCAGCCAAAAAACAAGTGCTGCTCGGTCTCGATGAAGTCATACCCGTCCTGAATACAGTACCAACTGCGCGGGTTTGTTGCCTCGAGGAACCAAAACCTCGAGCGCACCGGTAGTAGACGGACGGCGAGCCGAAATTGCAAGACTTTAATGACAGGTAGCATGATCATGCTCAAATGCGTGCCAGAGTTAACGAACACCTAAATTTGCGCTTCGTCGACTCGCTGCGAGTGAACTGTCGCTGGATGTGGCTTCATCAGTGGCTTGAGTGTCTACACAGTACGAAAGTGCAGTCTCGAGATTTCCGGAAGCAAACACGTCTTCACACCGCTTTGCAGCCTAAATGAAGAAACAGACGGATTTGCTCGCTGCGCGACGGCGAGAACACAACTTGCGACGCTCCAAGTCGAATTTACGATCTGTGTTGTCTCCTTATACAGTCTCCGCAGCTACTTTGCCGGTGAACCAGGTGTCACGCTCGCAAAAATATAATTGTATATAGTCCCACAAAGTCTAGCCACATCGGCCACGCGCTGATTTCGCGCACGAGGTTTCAAGCAGTCTCAGCCCGAAGCTTCTGGACACATCCAGCATAAATCTTCGTTGTGGATCAAGCACCATACCGATATATCGGTGGTGTGTTGTATGAATGTGCATTCGTGACGTCTGCTCGATGTGCAGTTCAGTGTTCGAGTGGAATTAGATCACCGAACGATGTACGCTCGTTTGGTGGAAGGCCATGCCTCGTAATCTACCATCGTGTCTTGAATTCCCCAATCTAAGTCGTTTGCCACCACGTCGACGTCAGCTCCACTTGAACAGGTCGTCATGGCGAAGCGGGTAGATCGCGACGAAATCGAGTGCGTCGCATCGCCCACCGCGAGGAAGAAACAGTTTGAGCAGCTCCGTGCTTGCTGCTGACTGAACTCTAAACGCCTCACAGAGCGCATGAAAGTAGTTCTCGGCTGCGATACCATCAATTGGCAACGGTTTCTGCTTCACCAGAAGAGCTGTGTAATTGATTTCAAAAAACCTCGTGTTCTTTACGGTGGTGACGTCGTCGGACAAGAGCAACATTGGCGGATTCTTCGTCTTCGGACTTCCTGGGGTAGAGATCTTGACGCTCGAGCCGTTGCAAATCGAGACCGACACTGCGCCGACCCGATTTAATGGGAAGTTTACGGGTTGGTTGGCAGCAGGTTGCTGACCATGCTGAGCTCCGCTCTGGAGCTAACCATTCCGTTTTTGGTTTTCTCAAAAGACTTTGAGGCAAGGTTTGCTTTAGTGGAGCTTTCGCTGATCGCGCGTACGAGCTCGATGACGTTTGTTAATGCTGCCGCAGCTGTGAGGCAGGCTCTCTGGGCACGCTGTCTCGTCATTGGTCGTCCCACGGTCGATGTCGTGGTGCGAGCGGTAGCCAAATGGCAGACGTTCCCACTGGATCAGAGCATTCTTGCGATACACCGGATGTCGAACTCCTCGAACACGAATACACTACCAAGGACGATGGGCTTTGTGCGCTCCAGCTTTGAACAGTTTAGAAATTCACTTTTACGTGCAGGTTGCCACCGGAGAGCTTCAATACTTCCCGATCGCGAACTTGCCGTACGGCTGATCGAGAGCTTCATTACCATGGTGCTTGCCAGCCAGCAAGACCATGATCTTATCCAGCGGAGTCTTAACGAACATCTAATTGCTGCCAATCACCACGTCAAATTTGGCGCGCGGAAGATCATACTCTCGCGCCTGTTCCTTGTGAGCCGAGATGAATAGCTAGTCACAACCAGCGGCGTACTAAGCTCGATCGCTTCGATGTCACAGGGGAGGGGCTTCGAGATTTCTATACGCAGCGAACAGCTTTGACTTCAGCGTTATCGCGCCGAATAACTTCTTGCTACCGCAACAAGTGCGCCACCATCGGACAGGTGCCGATGCTTGTATGCGGGGAAGGGTTGACGGTGAGCTGCGTGAGATCCATCGACTCGTCGTTCGAAACAGCAGCATCAGGAGATGAGTTGACCAAAGCTGGGGACGCGTCTATGAGCTCATCGTCGGGGTCGACCGCATTAGCAGGCACGACGACCGGAATCGCGGTAAGCGCAGACGTTAGAGGCGACGGCGTTGCCGGATAAGTGGCTAGCGATGATCCAGTTGGAGAGCCAAAGACAGCGCAGGAATCCGAAAAAGATGGGAGATGACCGTGGTACCCGGCTAGGTTTTGGGTGCGGACCCGACAGTCAAGCCAGCTTCACGCAAAGGGGCCGGTCGATGGGGAATGGGAGGCAAAAGCAGCTGAACGCACCATCTGCATGCGCGAAAGTGAAGGTTGACAGCTGAAGCAGAGAGCTGGGGGGGTATTCTTCTGAATAGATGACTTGCGGGGTGGCCAGCATATTCATCATCAGGTCAAAAAGCAATAAATGCATGTAGAATTTCGTCTTTAGTAGTGAAGGGTTACATCTTATTATTTATTTTGAAGCCGGTCAGACGGTTATATCAGAATGCATTTAAGTTCTCAGTTCTCAGATACAGATATGTAATCTACTAAAATAATGATTTAAAATCATTTTGAAATCACATAAAGAAATCATATACTATTCTTCCCCATTTAAATGCAATAAAAGTAGAAGAAGAATATATAACTTTTATTAAAACTATTATCAGAACTTCTTGGTTCTATACCAAAAGCTTGGTATTTCACATGATAGTCTCGACAAAGCTGAATTGTACGTTAATTTAATGCATTATGATTGCGCTCATGTTTAGGCCATAGAGCTATTCAAATTGTGGCAGCAAGACTGGTACTTGCTTAGCTGCGCGGCTCGATGTCGACAGTCACTGACACTACAGTGTCGTGTATGAGGTCATCGCCACCGCTTTGGCGGCTTTGATCTGAGTAATTGTAACAAAACCCGTCGACAACTTTAGTCCCGCACCCGGTTTAAGCTAGAAAATATTTGTTGGTGCATGGTCTGCCTGCAAAGTAGCGATACCATAGCGACTTTAAGAAATCGCAAACGCTACACATTGTGGATACAATTGTAATATGAGCTTATTAAGTTCAAATTTCGAACAAAGTCTGCCACAGCAGCTTGAACTCGCAATATATCCATTTTGATTTGGTAAACTGACCAGTTGCGCTCCTCAATGCTTCGAACGGACGACAAAACTCTCTTATTTTATTGTTATGATGACGCCACTTGATGCATGTACGGGCAAGCGATGCCGTGACAAGAATATCAGTGATACGTACGGCAAGATCCATGCTTACAGTTATGCTTAGAGACGTACTGGCAATTGCAAATTCCTCTAAATAAATTAAGTTACATCAAATAGGCTTAAAGGAAGCACAGCGTAGCGAACTAAGGTCCTCATAGACATTCACTTCGGTTTACATACTACCCAAGCATCACGCACCGTGCGGACGGTAGGTGGCTGGCGCAAAGTTGGTTCCGACCTGCAGCGGGGCTACCATAGCTCATTGCTTAGAGGAAGGTGACTAATGATATAGACCATACCTTTTATACTAGAACCAGTATGAGCGTAGCGGATCGCAATCCGCGACTACCACAAGTACCCAAAACCTTATCCAAGGCAATTACACTCTTCCGTTCAAAATCCAAAGTGTATTTATTAATTTTTTTTGCGGCAGAGCCGCCTATATCTAAATATCTAGGTTTTCCTATTTTCATTGTAGAATCTAAGTTATATGCATAACTACTGGCAGTCCCGCCACGTAGCGGCTTCTTGTCACTGCAGCGGCGCTACCGAAGCAAAGCGCTTGAGGGAGCGTACTTTAGGTCACCGACCTTTCGTTCTTTACAAGAACCATGGATGAGTTAGCGGATCGCAATCCGCTTACTCCAAGAAAAATTATTGCCTTCCCAAAGCTAATTAACGCTTCCGTTCAAATACTTTATTTTTTTATCTGCGGCAAAGCCGCCTAATTTTAAATGTATAGTCTTCCTAAAGTATGTAGAGCAAAATCTAGAAACATGTATAACTACTGGCTACCCAGTCACGTACCGTATTCTTATTTGGGCGCCGTAAAGCCACGATAATCTCGTGTGACACACACACCTGTTACCAGGGTGCGTGTAACCCCGTTACGGACCGCGAACACGACCGCATGAGAGCCGCCTTGTCGATAGCCTCCAACTGCGGCTCCTGTCCCTCGTTGAGGCGACTGTAAATGACATTACTTCCCTCGGAAGTCGAGAGGTTGGGTCACGACCACGGTGTCCGCAAGGATCGAGATGAAATCACGTCGTGGCGTTGGCGCAACTAGCCCTCCTCTTCTATCCATCCTGGGAAAAGAGTATTCGACTCATAGTCGACTTACTCCGAAGGCTCGGTGAGAAAACCCGTCGCCGGTGACGGGCGTGGTGCGCGGCGCCCAGTTGCCGAGGGCTTGAGATACGCTTCCCTTGAAGCCGCGGACGTACTGTCTGGAGTTGCACCGCGTGCAGGAGATGAGGAAGGGCTCTGCTCGCGGGTGTTCTCGAAACCAGTGAGGCTGGGAATCTTCGTGTCGTAGACACATGGCTCATTGAGCAGAGAATGCGTGAAGAAGGTCCTGAGAACGTAAAGGTGATTTAATGTGAGTTGTGGGATTTTAATGGGGGTGGGTGGAACGGGGTTACACGTACTCTGGTATAAAGGAACGGGCCAAAAAAATGGCGTGACCACACAATGGTGGGGCTTCATCTTACAAGAAGCCACTGCGTGACGGGACTGCCTGTATTTATGCATTTTGATTAGGTTTTACTATATAATTTAAAATTTTGTATATTAAGATATAGGCGGCTCTGTCGCAAATAAACAAAGGAAATACAGTTTGGAATTTCAATAAAATAGTATATTTGCCTTGGGTTAAGGTTGTGGTTACTATTGGAGCAATCGAATTGCGATCCGCTACACTAGTACTGGTTCTAGTATCTTAGTTTCGCTTCCTCTAAGCAAAGAGCTACTGCAGTCCCGCTGCACCAGATTTGACATGCCCAGCGGGAAACTTTCACGCCAAATTGTAATATGAAGCTGATTCATTGTGTGACGTCTGGCTTTATCCGAGCTCTCGCGTAGAGACACAGCGGTGCTGAGAAAAATTGCTCTTAAGTCGTGGTCGATCCGATGGAGTGTGACAGCAAATTTGTTCTAGAAACCAGTATGTGCATGTGTTAAAAGTTTCTCGTATTTAGCTTTCATTTACTATATATGAATGTGTTTTTTGGCATCTTCTGATATCAGCATGTTACACGCGTATTTTAGCTCTCAGCCATAGGATCACAAACTCAGCGCACGACCTTTCATTTACTCACCTCATGATAACAATCAAAATTAACTGGCAGCACCTTCCCAGACACGTTAATCGTCTTGTGACGGTGTCAAAGGCGCTCATGTCAGCCAAAACTCTTTATGAAATGTGGTCTCAAGAATACAGATGCACGTACAGTGCTACTCAACGCAAACTAAATGTCGTCTCCAGAAATGGATTGGGCTACACTAGTTATATTCCGACGAGAGTGCAAACAAAACTAGCAATCGCGTTAGCTTGTTAATGCGATAGCACGATTTCGCTCATCAGAAACATTTAAATGTAGAAATCGCGTTGTTGAAACTCAGACTTGTCCCTATCATCCCTGTAGCTAACACATCTCCTAATTTAAGACAACAAAACGGTTTTGACCTGCCAAATGCACCTCTGACCATATCGCACAATGACATATCTTGCAGAGCATAGCCGTAACGTGGCTTTTAACATTCGAACGATCGCCGAGACTTTTGGAAAAAGTCAATGTGCCGTTTCAAGCATTACAGTCCACGAAATCCCGTCACAAATATGTTGCCTTCGTTGGTACTGCTTAGCGAGCATGTGGTTTGTCACTTCCAAGTGGTGCGGTTAGCCAGCGGCGGAGTCAGCCGGCTTGTTATTCAATATCCAATTGAGTGAAAGGTCTACCTTCATTTATGAGTCTGATGTACGACTTTGGCAAGGTCGCTCTGTCGTCTTTGCTGCCCATATCTTGGCGCACCTTACATCTTTTTTCTAGAGGAATATTGGTCAAACATAGCGCTTTTTCTTGTGTCGGGGTCTTGCCTTGTCCAAGCTTGATACAATACAGGTAGCTACACCAACAGACTCACGATGATTGCCTACCGCGATTCCGATATGATTTTTTCTATCATTGCCAAGGATTAAACAGCGCTCAATATATGACGTTGGCTTTTCAAAATATGATATGTAAAGCCTCGGAGCGGTTAGCGACAGGATTTTCTCACTGAGTGCGCAAATCGAGTGCGATATGCTTCGGCACTCTGTCCACATACAGAAATTATAGTGCGGCTCTCTTGGGGGTACGGGCTTACCTGACCGCTGCAAGTCAAATCAATTTTGAAGTTAGGAAACCTGTTGTATTGATGGTGCCCTTAAGATACTTTCAAGCGCCAGTTTTGCTACGGAACCATCGCATGCATTGGCGTGGAAGGGTTTTGCCGTGGCGCACTGAGAAGTTTCCAAAGATCTTCATCCGTTACCACAAGATCATTTGATCTGCAAATGTTGTTGTGACTTAGCGCTTGCATACGAGCAATTTCGGCTCTCCTATCAATTCCCAGCTCTTACCTACAAGCTGGACAGGGTCGTGACACATTCGGTCTTTAAATCGGGCTCGGAGTGTACGATCTGTGCATAAAAGACGCGGAGCGTAGAGCAGGCTTTTCATTTCGGAAACGACCCTGCCGTTTGTGTCACGGTTAGGACAACAGAGCTGGGTTACTGCACAGCAAGGCCTTATGACGGTTGACATCAGAGAATTCCCCGATCTCTCACCGAGATTAGCTTCAAAGACGTCGCCTGCAAGGATGGCGCCTTCATCAGGAAATCGTTTAGCTGAAAAATTTTACCAGAAAAGAGCTTATGATATGGATAAGGAGCAAAAACTTTGGACTGGCAGGAGCATGTCGGAGAAATACGCTCCATTAGCAAAGGATATTCGTCAAGCGTTGTCATATGCTTGATGTCTTAATATATGTATATTTATTTTATATAAGCACAAATATTCACCTTATCTTTCCATTGTCGTAAAATCTTCCCGGTCGTGGGGGTAATGAGGTACGTACCGTATTCTGATGTACGTGCGTTACATCTTTATGCAGAGCACCAAAATACTAAAGTATTGGCTCTGATGCGGATGATGGAGCTTTTTGACGCAGAGGTCCACAGGTAGATTTATCGTTGTATATTTATCAATATATTTATCACTTTGAAAATAAAATAACAAACAAAGCAAGTTACAAGAAATACTCTCGGATCGCTAGGCGGTGAATTAAGCTTATCTTTGTTTCGTGTCTTGATACGCACTTGATAATTTGAAGCTTTCTTTGCAAATGAGGTACGACAACTAGGTTGCACACCCTATGGGGGGAAAGTTTTGCGATAGACATTTAAATTGATTTATTTAGTATGATGCGAAGAACAGCGCGCTTATCTTCGGTGCATCAGTTGATATGGTTCCTCTTCACTTTGCAAAACATCGTGTCCCACTGAAGTACTCTTAGTGTAATTTAGTCTAACTTCAAATGTCTTGGCTGTAGACCCTTTTTCGCTTTTTTCGATCAAAACCGAATGTGTACACTCCATTACAAGAATACGGCCAGGACACATTAGCTGGGCTAAAATTCACCAGAAGCTTATTTTTTAGCTTCACCAAAGTTTGATTATATACCGCTCTCCAAACTGAAGCACATCGAGGTCTTTGCATGTGAGAAGCTAATTAAGAAAAAGAATAAATAACTTTTTAATTTCAGTAATTGATAATTATATATAAAAATTGGAGAGAGGGAAGTTTTGTGTAATAGAATTCATAATTTTTGTATATAATCTGCTACTCACTATTATGTGAACATATAAAGATTGAAAAAATCTCTGCCGTGTCTCCCACGTAGGACAGCTACTCTTCAATAAGAAATGTGAAAATATTAGATTTGAGCGCTCCATTCAGAAGCGAAACCATCTCATCCCTAGCAAATTATCTTAAGTTTGCTTCCCTATTATGAAAATGACATGTGTCAAGAATTTGTTCTATTTTAGCGAATACTATATATAACTGTGCGTGTTGCATTGCGCGAGGCTAAGAGAATGTACTTCTACCCCACGGATCCACATCTCTCTCATCAGCACCAATACGCTGACACTTCTGAGTTTTTCAGTCAAGCAATGTGTTATATGTTCATGCGCTATGATTCGGTATGTACTCTCTATTCTAGTTCACCGACACGTGTACTATATTGTTCCAAATATGGCACGAAGATTAAGCATTTTTTACAGCTTTATGCCCAAAGCGTTGCTGCCTCCTAGCGGGAAAGAGCTCATGACTGACCAAAGCTTTCTCGAGAGTAATGTTTGGATCCTAATGTTGTCTCCTTCCAGCCGATTTATGACTGATGAACTCCAGCAACGCCATACTTATGATGAGACCAGGTCACGTTTAGAATGAAAAGATTTTACACACTTGTGTCAAATCTCGCAAGAATCGCAGGAAAGTCAGAGGAAACCTTCTATGATCGATTCGTAGATGTCACTCAGTGACATAAGACATGCGCTAAATAAAGTCGTGTCAGACATGTAGCTACCAATGTTCCAGAGTCGCTACAACTGAATGCATTAAAAAAGGCTGACTATGAAAATTTTACCGGTAGTAGATAGTTAAATTGTGCTGATCAAATGAAAAGCAAACGCAATAATTTACAAAGGGAAAGTCTGTTTTGCTACAAAAAACATTTGCGAATTGTGGGCGATTCAAAAGACTCAAAATCTCAATCCAGATAAAAATAACAAGCTAGGAACCATGAGCTACAAGGAATATCTATGCGCTTAATCGCAATTAACAACTGAAGCAGGGATGCCCTGACTATTGTGGCGGAAAGGAGTACCTTTTTGGTCAACTGAATCGCAGCTATAAATTCACGCATTCTTTTTGGCATCTGACTTTGGTATTTGAATACTCATCCTGAGGATGTAAGAGATCGCTGTTCCCAAGCAGTCCCTCAAACACAACACACACGCTTGTGCGACGAGAAAACGATTCTCGACGTGGAGGGAGAAGGACAGTCCCGACTTGGAAAGGAGAAGAACGATTTACTACCTTAAAGGGAAATTCGCAACTGAATCAAAATGAGTTATGGTCCTAGCTAGATGCAAAACACCCCAAGGGCTCTTATAGATCTTACTTATAAAAACAGAGACAAGATATTGGTTAACGGAGCTTGACTTCGAAAAGCTTGAACTTCAACTTTCAGGGACAATATCCAGTAGAACAGACTAGCTTACACCATCCACTTCAAAAGACAGAGCACGCCGAGCTCACCATCAGTTCACATCCAGACAGGAGCCAACATTCTGTACCAGACAGAAGGGTTGTGACTCCATGTACGATGTTCGAAATACCATACTGTAATATTATCAACTCCCACAATACATACAGAAGGCATAAACATGCACCTTCATGTAATGACCATTAGAGGGTCGGCACCGATCAGATTCATTTTCTTAACTGTCATAAAACATCAATTTATCAGGCTCCAATCGGTTGCTGCACGCTTTGTATGGGAGCTATGACTCACCGAGTCCGCGTTCAGATTCACAGAGAGGTTGGGTTGGCACGGTTCAATTAGGAGCGGAACCGAGGGTTTCCAAAGATTCAAGTTGTTTTAGTTTGCCAAGCTATTTCGATTGGTTTGTATATTCAAAATCAATTCTGTAAAGACTCGCACTATGTATAAACATACATTTTACCATGTCTTTGTTTCTTGACGTGAGGCGAATTGTCCGAATGTACCACTGAATGTAATCTCATCATTTCTAGTATTACGATTCATGGTAAACTTCGTGCAATTGTATCGTATGCTGTGCCAAATTATCCCGCACAAAGACATTAAATCACTCACATGATGTTTTTCTTCCAAAGGTTTTATTATCATTTGCAGTTTTATAATCATTCGCAGTTTTGTCATTTGACTATTTAGAAATTAGAAACAATCAAATTTAATGTCTTAAACGCTTTAAGCGGTAGATTAATTTCTACAATATTGAAATGATACTGATATGCACTCCACTTTATATTAAAAGAGAAAAGACAAGTAAAAACGGAGCGCGAGAAGCGGTAGCCTTGATTTCTTATATATGCGAGTAAGCGTAATATCTTCCTATTGAAATGTTCGAACGCCGTTCGAACGACGACACAATGGGACATGCAGAGCAGGAAAATTACTATGGTGCGTATATAGACCTGATTCAAAAGAAGAGCGATGGCTTGCATGATGAATAGAAGCAAGTTTCAGCTCACGATGCGACATATTTTACGGCCCGTAACGAGAGGGAAAAGGCAAATACGATAAGTGATAAGAAAAGAACGACGTTTCAAAGTCAGAGGCTTGGCGTGAAGTTCAACTGGAAAAAAGGCCGCTGCTGTCTAGAGTCTTGCAATGGTAGCAGATTGATTAGATGATACCTCCGTCAGCCAGAAACGATTTCTTTCTCGTTGGCTGGTCAGGAGAATAAGTGATGGCGCCACTTTTGGAATTGTTAATGTCAACGAGGTAATATTACTCTGTTGCGTTGGTAAATTTGGCGGTTAGTTTTCGAGTGGTAGAAATTGAATTATAAGTGGAAACATTTGGTCTTTGCATGCAATTTTTGTATCTAGACAAGTTATACATCATTGGTTGCTTAACTACACTTTCTAGTGTGCATATGTTATTTTTACAAATGTTTTTGTTACTTACTAGGACCATCGTTACAATTCAGGACGATAAAACCTATATCGTCACATATCGGCTCCTGCTAGGGCATATAAAAGGCCTTCGATCAGTAGCGTTGTCATCAATCTACCTGACATGCGGCGACACCGACAGAATCATCACACCTTTTTTCTTCCATTGGTTGCAATTAAATGCATTGGTTTAGCTCCAAGATGGATATGCAAGAATGAGAGAGTTGGACTGTCTTTCATTATATCATATCAACAATCCGTTCAATAGCATGACGTAGGATAGATAACCACATGCTGTACAGTCGTAGGAGACACAAGGACAATGTAAGTGTGGTGATAAATGTGAGCTCCTTTACCATATAATATTAAGCTGTTGTCGCTCGAATGCACCACAAGATTTACCAGCTTTGCAGCCAGTTATAAGAGGTAAAGAAATTGGCCAGACGACAACAACTCAACTTCATTTATTGTCGTCACTGGGATATTCTGCTCTTTACTTAAGAAAAAAAAGACTAAGAATCTGTCGAGTTCAATATTAGCTACATAGACAATAATTTTGGGAGAACCTAGTCGAGACGTATTACCTTTTTGTGCACCAAAACTAACCCGGCACATTTACATAAAAATGGTAAAGACACAAAATTGCTCTCAATTTAATATGGTCCACCCTACGAAAAGTTGTAATAGACGTGCGTTTATGGATAGGACACGCATGTTGCGCTAGAAACACTTGGACGTCAATTACTTCTTCTCGATCCTACAACGTGCGTAATGGCAAGCTTGATTCAAAGTCAAGCTCAATTTATCTGCCACCCTAAAAAGGCTTGACGATGTGTCGTATTGTCATGCCTTTTTTCAACTCGACCATATTCAATCATTCTTTCGACATACTACAATTTCAGAACGTTCAAAGAGAAGTTAGTGTACAATCAACAGAGAATGCTTCAGCAATTTGCATTACTTGCGGTAACATTGCCAGCTCTCACCTTCGCTACGATTGATGATGATGTGACCTTCCGAGGCGATGCCACGGCATTGGCAGTAGCCCAAGCTTCAGCCGCTACATGTAGTCCAAGCATCGGTGACAACTACGTTGCAATTAATAGCGATCAATGGGATGCGACTCAAAATTGCAAACAATGCATTGAAGTCTCATGTGTCGAAGACAATTGCAAAGGCAAAAATCAATCTGTAATTTTATATGTCGCGGGTGATTGTGAAGGATGCGAAGACGAAGGTCTTGACTTGTCACCCGTAATGTTTGAAAAGCTTACGGGGAGTGTTTCAGGCTTGTTTAAGCTTACATGGGAATTTACAGATTGTCCATATGAGGCTGGTACGGTCGAACCTGCTGATGAGAAAAAGACTGCAGTGAATATTCTACAAACCGACGAGAAAGGTATTGAGACTCAAGAGGAGAATACGGAGCCAACAGCTAACGAGTCGGGCGATAATGAAGATCATACAAGTGGCACGAGTCCATTTGTTGTGGTGCTTATTGTAGCTGGCGCGATTTGTGCGTTAGCCCTGGCTGCGGTTATGTTCAAAGCAAAGAAGAATCGTATAAGACGCGATGAGTATGTGGCCAAGTCTTTCGACACTTTTAGCTCCCCAACGCAGATGAAGAAAAAGGCAACAATCGTCACGATTTAAGGTGACGGTAGTACGATGATTTGAAAAGATTTTAATCACAAATGTGGCTCTGATCGACTTGTAGTGTGTAGAGTGTGTGTTTATTGTTTGATATTGAGCAGATCAGTGGCAGTGGAACCACCATTCGCTTATGTGAATACACAAGATGGTACAATGATGTTTAAACATGGCGTGCACTACGAAAGCGTCTGGAATAAATTAAATGTCTCTGTTACCATATTATATAACTCGAGCTTTAATGTCGAATTTCGATTGTTCCATGCATCATTTTATGCATTGCGACTAAAAATTACCATTCAAATATTGTTTTAGGTCAATTGAACACTTCCCAATTGTGTAATTTTCTGCATATGTAAGAATATCTATGGTGAGCAATTTCCAAGCGTCGTGAAGTTTGAGATGTACTCTATTTCTAGGTAAAGGAGCGCAAATATTTTATTATGTTCAGCTTCTGCTTGCGTAGAAATAGCTCAGTATTAAAGTTTTAAGATCAATTACATAATTTTGATTGGTAGAATAATATTTCAAGCCTTATGGACTAAAGAAGTTTCGGAAAATCATTCTGTGCTAGCGCCTATGTTCTATTTCGCCACATGGAGTATGGAAGCTCATCTTCCACTTTGTTCGCCCTGCCTTTATGAGCGAGTTACGTTAACATGTGAAATGAATTAGCATCTCATTTCAAATTGTAATTGTACTGCATACATGCCCAATGGTCCAATTCAGAAGAACATTAATAGTGACACTTCTGCCTACGGTGGTATTTTCGGATGACGACAAATACTTTAAGGGTGAAGGGACGTCGTACAGACTTAAACAAGTATCGGATGGAAATTGTCACTTGATGTACGACCATGATATGAATGAAAATTATGCAGCACTAAACGATAAACAGTGGAACTCAACACGAAATTGTGGTCGATGTGCTCAAGTGTCGTGTGATGACCCTCGATGCAGTGACACGACAACTACTGAGATTGTATATATTGTCGACAGGTGTCTCGAATGTAAAGAAGGTGATTTGGATTTGTCCACGACTGTGTTTCAAAAAGTCACAGGTAGTCGTGACTCTTCTCGTTACAATATCAAATGGAAATATGTCGATTGTCCTGTAAATGGTAATATCCAATATTGCACAAAAAGTGGCAGTAGCAAGTCATGGCTAGCAATTCAGCCAACGAATTTTCTCAATGGGGTTGCAAATATGAAAATTGCTCATCAAAGTGTGACAATGGTAGAGTCATGTTACTATTTTCTGCTTGATGGTGGTTCGAATGTCGATATGTCTGCAGTTCCTATCGAACTTACGTCCATTGCAGGTGAAACAATTTCAGAGACTCTCAATCTCTCAAGTAATCATTGTACAGAAGGAATGTCGAATTTTGGAAGTCAAAATACAAAGTCAATGCAGTTGATGCCCGTTTCAAGTGATACTTCGTCGTCTTCAAAACCATACGATTTGTTCTATTCGACTAAATCAAACAATGACAAGGATACGTTTAAGGTTGGTACAGTACTTGCGGCTAATGAATCTGGAAGCAATGTGTCGATTTTACAGTCTAAAGAAGAAGAGATAGAGAATACGTCAAACACGAAAGAGACAGATCAAGACGAGAAATTAGAGACGAAATACGTGACAAATAAAGCAGAAGAGATATCGTCAAGTACAAGTCCAGTCTTGATGGCTTTAATCATTGCAGCGGCAGTGGCTTGTATTGCCTTGGCTGTTGTTGCTCTATCGGTTAAGAAAAAGAATATCATCCACAAACGTGTTGATCAAGACGATGGATGGGGTCAAGCATTTGATACGTTTAACTCTCCAGTACGTATCACAGAACGTATTGCCAAGCTTTAAAGCTTAAAAAGAGCGTAGCAGAGAAAGCATTTATGTAGTAGTGTTTAGTCAAATGAGAAATAATGAAGTCTTGTTCGTATCTAATTAATTAATCTTTAAACAAACTACTTTGTTCGTGATTACCTTGATGACGACGAGTCCGTGAATTCATTCTACAGTTAGCAGCAGAATGAGTTCGAGGTTGATAAGGAAGTCGTACTACTTGATTTCGTGGAGTAATGAGGTGAGCAGCGACTTTCGAAAGTGTGTGCATGACAGCATAGTCAGCTGTAGAAATATTATAGTGAGGTTTTCGATCCCATGTACATAATGTAGCAATGATCACTCCATCTGGAGCTCGAATTGGAAATCCAACATAGAAACGTATACCGCCATCGCGTACTACTAAGAGTTGAGCAAAACGTACGTCGCTCTCAGCATTTTTAATCACAAGGGGTTTGTCCACATAAATGGTATGTGAGCACATACTTTCTGAACGAGGAGTTCGAAGTTGATACGTTCCATTGGAGTAACAAAGAATGTCATCTACAAACGAGACAAACCCAATAGGACATTTAAGTCGCTTTGCTGCTTCTTCAGCAAGCAAATTCAAGGCCGAATGATCGTACTCTGGCTCAAAAACGCCTGCAGTTTGAATATGATGCAATCGACGTGCTTCATTCGCTGAAGATGGTGTTGGTGGAAGTGGAAGGTCTTCATATGTCGTTTGAGAAGTATCAAATACAAAGCGATAGTCACGTACTAAATCCGCGACTTTTAATGAAGAAGCATCAAACTTGTGCTTAAAATTCTGAAGTGATTGGTCCACATAGTGTCTCAGTTGTGTCTGCACGCTTTCTTTAGTAAGAGGCACGTTCTGAGTTGTTTTCAATCGATTTGTAGTAAGTTTTCGTAGCACTTGACGAAGTTGAGCAAATCCACTTAAACGTTTCTTGGAGTCTTGAGATATCAAGTCAGTGTCGTAGAATAAAGTAGTTCCTAATGAGGTTGCAGCGTTCTTGTTTACTTCATGATTATCAAGAAAAGTTGTGGATGGTACGACAGTTGGTCCAAGAGCTGCACTTAAGTCTTCCAGACTGAAAGTACAAGAGTTCACGCGCTTGACACAGTAAAGACATAGTCGATTCTGACGCACTTTTCCTATTCGTGCTTCAACTTGATAGAGTTGAGAGCACTCTCCACAGACAAAATGACCACAAATTTGACAGTATAATTCTCGTCGAAATAGCGAAAAGCGTTTTAAACAGACATGACAAATGTTAAAATGCTGTACAAAGCTCGTATCCATACTTTGCGAAGGTTGAAAGTAAATGAACGATTGAAGACCATAACGACGTCGGGCAATGACATGCTCAAATTCTTTCAATTGATTCGTCAGTAGTTCAATCACATGCTTGGATTCCAAAGTAAATGAACTAGAGTTTCGATGATCCCACAATCTTGAAGAAGTCGAACTGTTATGGTCTTGAATTGGAATTCCTACGTACGCATGAAGAAAAATTCGTGTCTGTTGTATTCGATCTTGTCTCGATTCGTATGCAATATCATAAGCAATGCCAAGATGATCCACGGGATCACGAAGTGCAGAACGATACTCTTTAGGAATAATCTGGTCATGAACTGACTTTGGCAGAGTCTTCATCACATGAACAGCACGATTAGCTTCTGGATATCGATGTGTCAATGATGCAAAGCACAATCGCTGCGAACGTGGATGTTCTGGATGACGTAAATGATTCGAAGCCATGCGAAGTTGCCAACTCGGACGATATGCAGCCATTTGAACACCTAAGAGTGCTGGACTCCCTTTGCTTGTGTCTCGATCTATTGGAAGAAGTTGACATTTTTCATGATATAGAATTTCTCCTCCTTCAAAGCTCTTACTACTTAGCGCTCGCATTGTCGCTTCATAGTCACTTGTTTTCTGACTCACGAGAACATTAAGCACTTCATTGATATGGCATTGTAAGTAAGTCATTGCCGTTACTGCGTAGATAACTTGCGTTCCATCTGCTCCTCCATCATCGCATGGTATTCCTACCGACTCAAAAGTGTTCACTCGTGTACTATTACTTGGTATACGTTTCCAATGCTCGCTTTTTGACGGTTTGCTCCGTAAAGCCGCATGTAGCTTTGGTAAGGAATTTAACAAATCATCACAGATTTGTTGTCTCGAAAAGACTAAGCGTTCTTGACCGTCGACTGAAGCTGTCAATCCACTTGGTTCATCGTTGTATCCTTCTCCAATTGCAATTGATCCACGTGATAAATTTGTTTGTTCTTTCACTCTTTTTTCGATTCGCATCTTTGAAATCTCAATGCTGCACAAGGCAAAATGATGGTATTAAGGAAATAACAAAGACTTGAAACTTGCTTGTGCTACAAGTGTCTGCTTGACGTCACTTGTCTGAATTAAAGTCAACTCACTGCATGATATGAAACATATGCCATGCAACGACCAAGCATGTCACCTAGCAGCTGGTACAAACGATCTTGTCGAGAGACTGGTAAATGTCGTACGTACTATACGCGACGTTGTGGACGAAACCAACTGGCCACGTTTATTCTTGTTGACCAGTCAATGATGATGACACGACGATCATGTCGATCGCGTCCAGCGTCGGCTGGTGTAATGCATTCGAAAGGATTGATGGATGATAAAGTCGAGTCTATGATCCAAGCTGCGCATGAACATTTTATTGAGACTACAAACGGTCAAGAGAACGAGCAAGAGGCTTGTACGATTGAGAGCTCACAGACGAAATTAATAGACCACATGGACAGTTTCCCGTTAGTGCCTCTTCCGATTATCCCACTCCTTGATAGTCGAGACCTTGAAAAACTTGAACAAGGGCTTCGAAATTTGCTTGAAAGCTTGACGTCACATGAAGACAAACAACTTGGTAATTATGCGACTCGACAGCTGGCGCTAATTCAACAGCACTTGATGCATTACCGAGCTCAAGAACGAGTAATTCAGCTGCTTCGAGGTGATGTGAGTGTGACTTTAGCGCCAATTAAAACAAAGACACTAAAGAAAAGTTCGTCGTCAACTGCTGTGACGACTACACCAATTCCATCACGGATTTGTAATGAAAAGAAAGCTGTACCTTTCAAATGGAAGAGTAAGAAGGCAGCAATTGACATGGCTCGTAATATGGTCCAAGCTAACGCACAGAAAAATAAAGTGTGTCTTCTTCCAAAAGGTTTTATGATTTCTGCTGGTGAGAAAGTGTCGAAAAAACGAAGTAGACCACGCATTAAGAAACGAAGTCCGGAAGAAGAAACGAGAGATCGAGCGGAACAAATCAAACGTAACCGCGAGATTCGAAGAATAGCGGCTTGTCAGCGATTACAAGCGAGACGCGAGTTGCAAGCGAAGCGAAAGCAGGCTCATAAGCTGAAAATACAACGAACGAGTGAAAAAGACGAGAGATTGATGATCAAAGACGTTGCTAGCAGCGATAGTTGTGACGAGAGCGAAGAAAGTGATGTCAGTAATTGTTCTGAAAGTGACGAGGCGAATGAAAAGGCTATTCTGGCGCTTGATGTCCGAGTTTCAAGTATTGAGGAGGTCGAGGATAATGATTTTAGCGACAGTGATGGTGAGAATGTTACGATAGACGAAAGAATGGTAAAACATGATGAAACGAATTCGAATCAAAGCCCAATTACTGATGACGAGCCAAAGAAGTTGGTGATATTGACAGATTCTATTGATGCGGCAGAAGATGAAAAAGTTCGTGATGATACATCAACATGGAACGAAAAGGAGGAGAATCAGCTGCAAGATACTCAGAATGATTCTTTTGCTTCTGATCTCGAAAGATTTATGACTAACAGAGCAGCAGCAAAACTTCAACAATTGCAAGTCGAGAAAGAAGCATATTCCGCGAATTCGATCAGTACCATGAAACACGACTTTGAAGCTGAATCTCAAGACTGTAAAGAAAGTTTTGATATATATGACGTTGATATCAAGGAGAGTGATAATGTGACAAAGACCGAAATTCTCGATTTTGACACTTTTGAAGAAAATGAAGCTCAACAAAGTGTCAAAATGGAATTTCCTGGTACACATCTTGGACTTCCGCGACTCCCAGTACTCGCATGTAATGATTATCGCTTTTACTTTCGCAATTTTTATTGTATCTTAACTTCAGTATACGAGCAAATGCGTAGTTCTCTCTCTACATGCTCATCGTCTTCTTCCCTGTATCATCGTCCAATTGGTGCTACTGGATACCACACAATGCGATTGCAGCGAAAATTGTATGAAAGTTGGCAAAGTATTATGTACGACTACACCACAGTGTTTGGTCCAAAAATTGTGATTCCTGACGGAATAGTACCAATGGCAGCAGCTAAACCTTGGATTCCTCACTATCGAATTAATTCAACTGCACGAAAAGAAGTGTCAGAAATTGTCATGCAAGCTTTACATCATTTAGATGATCGATGGGAAGATCATCCAGCAGGACTTGGATTAAAAACAACGTGGAATTTATTGTGGACATGGAGCAAACCGCGTGTTGAACGTCAAACATTATTAGTCTGGCAAAAAGTTAATCATTTTCAACATGCAAAAGCTTTGACCCGCAAAGATTGTTTAAAGAAACTATTGGGAAAATATCAGGGAACTGGTGGACGATTACAAGAAATTTTTGATATTATTCCTCGCACGTTTTTGTTACCAAAAGAATATGTAACTTTTGTTCATGCTTTTCAGGAACGGAGTGAAGGATTACGTCATCGTAACATATCGGAAGAAAAGAATATTTGGATTATGAAACCTGTGGCTTTATCTCGTGGACGTGGTATTTCTTTAATAAATGATTTGAGTCAATTGATTTATGGAGATCAAGTTGTGATTCAAGAGTACATTGCTGCTCCACGTTTATTAAATGGTTACAAGTTTGATCTACGTTTATATGTACTTGTAACATCATTCAATCCGCTTGAAGCTTTTATTTACGATGAAGGATTTGTTCGTTTATGTACTAGACCATATGAAGATAGCGACATCAGCAATATCTTTGTTCACTTGACGAATAGCAGTATCCAAAAGAAAAACGAAAACTTCACTACTGATAGTGCAAATGTCAAAGAAGTGAAGCAGACTTGGCAAAATGAAGGAGATTTCACTGCAGCAGATTCTGGTGGAACAAAATTATCTTTGGCTTATCTTTGGAAGAGACTTGCAGCTGAGGGTGTGGACGTAGTTGAAGTGAAACGAAACATTGACGAAGTGGTGCTCAAAGCACTTATTTGTGGGGAGGACGAAATTCCGTTTCAAGTGAATAGTTTTGATCTGTTTGGGTATGATATACTTTTGGATTCGGACTTGCGTCCATGGCTTATTGAAATTAATTCGTCTCCTTCCATGGCACGAGAAAATGATCTGGATATGCAAATCAAGAATGCTTTAATGTTGGATGCACTTGGTATTGTAGATCCGCTTCATTTTGATCGCGCAAAACTAGCTGAAGTGATTGCACGTCGACAGCATGACGAAGAGGATGAAAAGAAGCGTCCACACGTTTATACTCGTCATCCTCGAGAGACCGAGGAATTAGCAGCGCGGCAGCTTAATGAAGACTTGACTGCCATTTTACGAGGAAAACTTCCTCGTGCATATGGAGAAATGCCTCAGCATCTTGGGAAGTTTCGAAGACTTTGTCCTTATACGAACATGTATAATCAACTTGTTAAGTTCAAACGAAGTTACACCCGCAAAGTCTAAGTTTTTAAAGAAATATTGCAAGGTTTTAAATTATTTACTAGAATTAAAAAAAACATTTTTTTCTTTTTAAAGATATTTTCCGCTTCTGCAATACTTGCATTCTCTATGTATACATTCCGCACAGTCGTAAAGTATGGTGAACATTACTTTCTCATAATTTCTTCAGTGCTCTAAGCGATCAGGGAGAATGCATATGCAAGAGCCATCTAAGTCGAAATACTATATTACAACTAAGCGTCATCTGCAATTATACTGTAATTCTCAGCCATTAGAACGATTATATTAATAAGGATGACACGATACAGTTCTAGCAACTCAAACTTATAATAATGACTTGTTCGCTTTTATTAATTTTAGCCGTGCCAAAAGTATACGACCATCATTACCTCTTATTAAACCGCGCATATTAATCACAACGGTCAACTCATATAATGAGAGCTCTTGTATATCGCAGAAGAGGTTACCTTTTCGCACCCAGCCGCTAAGGTATTACGATGTAGTGGTGCTTGTGCTGTTGCAAATGCATTCCGCCACGGTGAGCACCACATTCATAGACGCAAGACCATTTTCGTAGACAGAGCACAAACTCGTGGGACGGTTGTAGCAATTACGACCTTTTTGAACATCCCAGAACTCATTTAGAAAACACAAATCCTGGCATTTGGCCTGACGCTCTTCAGGCTGCGAGTCCCATGGCGTTGACTTCATGTGGGCCATGCGATAAAACATGTCCTGTTTCTTGGCCAGCGCCTTCTGGTTCATCGAACGCTCCTCTGTATTATGATCATTTGAAGTTACAGAGTGAAGTCTCAGATGGGATGTTTCCGATGCAGACGTCGAGGAGACTAAAAGCAGAGCGAGAATCGCGGTGATGGTCTTCATGTCTGGATAAAGATACCCTTTGTCTGAATTCCTCCAATAAGCGCTCGACAATAATTTACTACTATAATTTTTTTTCTTAAATTACTAATTGGCGATTTAGACATAATATTTCGTTACTCACCTACTAATAGTACTCAGACGACTATTTACTACTTTTGCTTATAAAAAACTTACTGCTTTCAATGATGATGATACACCCAACGATATTTCTAAAAAAATCGTTTGTCTTGGACACATTTGAATAGTTGACTATAATAGATCATTGACGCACGACGTCGTCGATGTTAAATCGCAAGAAGTGATCACTTTGCAGCAGTTCGTCTCGGACAATCGTCATGACACTTTTCGAAAAAGCATCAAGTTCACATTTTTGACAGATTGTGATTAGACGTCGCTGTAACCGCTGATTTGGTAGTAAGAATGTAACGTAGTGCTGCTTTCTACAGTCCAAACAAATGTACCGTGTGCAAATTTGACAGTGCCTTTTCTTCTTGAGAATTTTTGCGCCTTGATTTGTTCGATTTGCAGCCTGAAGAAAAAGTGATTGTTTCTTGCCACATCCATAACAACCTTTGTCGATAGTAGAACTGCAAGATGCATTCTCAGTATATTCCGAGTCGATTGAGGACGCTCCGTTGGAATATCGATGCCTCAAAACCCATGAAAGTCTTTTCATGCGACCACAATGGACATGTCGTCCAGCGGTCAAAAGTGTACGTGCAGCTGATCGTACAATGATTGCACGCTTGATTCCAGCATCTGAATTGAAAAAACCTTTGATAAACACGTCAATGACATTTTTCGTACGTTGACGGTAAAACATATTGACTGAACTATTGCCTCGAATATGCGTATCAAGTTCTGGCGTTTCGGGAAACTGAATGGAGTGACCTAAATGATAACCCACCCGTTCTCCATTACGAAGACGATCAAATCCTGTAGCTTCCATGTAGACAAAATCACGATGGTTTGTTATTGTACGCACACCAATAGGTGCATGCCATTCCGACCACTTGACGCATAGTGAATTAAACGGAGCATCGTATGTTGGAGGTGTGACGGTTGCGAGGATACAACTGCGCGAAATTCCATCCCGAGTATAAGTTGTTTTGATCCTCATCTGATCGGTTGTCAGTGCAATGATTCCATACATGACATCATCCAAATCGCCTTCTATCGTCCCAGTCACGAGAAGGATAGGCATTTCAGCTTCCGAATTCTCCTCACATTTTGATTTGCGTGGTGACTCGCTTGTGCGCTTGTGTTGTACGTACGCTTTTATGTTCTTTTCAGATGAAATGAATTTCCACTGGTCCTCATCCACATGACTTTGATTTTCAAACAAAAAGGATTCAAATGTGCCCATATTACGTGCGACTAATCTCTGTCCAAGACCTTCTAGTTCGACTGTATTCATTGGAGACAATCGCAATGGTGGAAATGGACTCATGTAGCGTTTGCTTACATTTCGATCTGTTTTAATCTTGACAGAAGTATCAGACGTCATTGACGTTAAAAAGCTGGTACGTTTCGTTGCAAAAGTATCGAATGAGACCATTACGAATATCAATGCGTTATGAACCCCACGGCGTCAACACTAAAAAAAATAGTACTCTCTCCCAGGCACGTCAGTCAGTCCCATCCCACATCGACAACATAAGATTTGACGATTCTTAAGTACGAAGCGTTGAAAAAGATCATGTTTGGACTGCGACTACGACTGAAGCATAGAACTTTCAAAATTACAAAGACAAAGCAGAACGAGATGGATTTGTGTTATTAACATGATGTTGATTCTTTCGTGACTTTCCCAATTGATCTTGTCATGGCGTATTAGATTTTACTTCAACTGGTCGTTAAATCGGTACATGAATCGAAAAATTGTCGACCACTATATTTGAACTTGATGGGGTTTGCAATAGACACAATTGATTTTAAGTACCACTCCATTATCACAAGAAATGACATTATGACGAAAATGTCCACGTGGTGTTGCAACAATATTGAATGCTGAGGATTCGCGATCGGTGCGTTTCGACTATGTTTAGATTGTCGAGTGAAGAAGACTATATTTTGATTAAGTCTTGACAAAAGAAGCCACTCATATCGTAGCGCACGTCACGAATTAAATTTTATAAGTTGATCATCACTGGTCTATAAAAAATATATGTCTTACGAATATGTTTTCTCTCGACATCAGCAAGCATGTTCCGCTTGTGGAGTAGTGCCACAGATTCCATCTTCGTCAATGCAGCTGCTAAATTGATACGATACTGATAATATTCGATTTCTTAAAGTGACAGGATTATCATATTTAAACACCAAAATCCTTATTCTCAGGATAATTTAGAATAATTTGTCGAACATTATGGTTCTTTAAAGATTAGCTTAAAGTGGTTTATGCATCGTTACAAACATATATTGTGGAGAATCCAGCATTCTATTGTTAGCTTCAAAACGATGTAAATTAAAGCAACATTGATTTTCCCAGCGGCTATCAATCGTAGATCTGTGTGCTACACAAAGCTACATATTGCTTTCGTTAAAGATCGACGATACCATTTCAAGAATCGCGCATCTAGTTTTACAGCGAGCAACAAAATATGATAATAGAACTCTTGTATGTCTCGTTTTCAAGTGAGTAATGCTTTCCGTGTAAACAATGACTACCGCGCAAAATGATGTAGTCTACATTAACCGTTCCGATCCGACAAGCCTTTTTTATTGTACAAAACATTACGACTCGGCTAAACAACACACCGAAAGTGTTTGTAATCGGAGCTGAACCACAAGACTGCATGTACAGTAAGACTATCAACGCTCGACAGTAGTTTTCGCGATAGCAGAATCGACAATGTAGCCTCGACGACCTGAATTCAAACTGAATTTTCCGATTTACGAGGAATTATGTGTTACTAAATTTTCGAAGTAATGTTTTTTTATCATCAAATAGTAATGTGCGGGAATAAGTAATTTAAGCGACAAGGTAGGAACAAAACGATAACAAAGCGTGAGCAATTGAGCTTAAACCCTAATAAATTAACTAATGCTAACAAATTAAGATTTTAATACTTAAGATAAGTATTTGTAGTCTAGATTTTCGTGTCTGCATCAGATTTTTTGGCATCAGAAAATACATATGTCCGGATAACACAGGGTTCAATTCAATCATGACGTGGAAGTACGTTTCTGTACCCCTAATATACAATAATAATTCTGCGGATAGTACAGTTCGTAACCGAGTATAAAATCCGAATTGAAGAACCGAGACCAAGAGATTATCGAACCATGTGGTAGTGAACGACAGCGATCACGCCAGAGTCTTTATGCCTTATCGAAGAGTCTGGCGATTGTCCAATTGCTTGATTTGCTCTATCCTTGCCAATCGTCCATGACCATGCAATCGCAATAGTCACTTTGTTTGTTTCGGACGAATTTCGAGTGACCATTAGTGATATCAATGTTGCGACGACTTACGTTCTTAACGGTCTTTCCTCTCGTATCATTTGCAGGAAGTGATGAAATATTCACAGGTGAAGGAACGTCGTATACGCTTGGCCAAGTATCAAGTGGGAACTGTAACTTTATGTATGATCCTGGAGTTGGTGAAAATTATGCCGCTTTGAACAATGAACAGTGGGAATCGACTCACAATTGTGGTCGCTGTGCTCAAGTTTCTTGCGATGACCCTCGATGTAGTGATACGACCAGCACAGAGATCGTATATCTTGTTGATAGGTGTCCTGAATGTAAAGCCGGCGATCTCGATCTCTCTCCAACAGTTTTTAAAAAACTCACAGGAAGTGATCCATCTCGATACAAGATTAAGTGGTCATTTGCAGCATGTCCTGTGCAAGGCAATATCAAATATTGTACCAAAACTGGTAGTAGTAACGCATGGCTGGCCATTCAACCAGCGAATTTTGCGACTGGTATCGCTAGTGTCAAGATTGCAAACCAAGACGTGACGATGGTGGATTCGTGCTACTATTATTTACTCGTTAAAGGCTCGAATGTTGAAATGTCGGCGGTAAATGTCGAGCTCACGTCCACGACAGGTGAAACGATAACTGAAAAAGTGAACCTTACGGTCAATGCGTGTATTGATGGAATGTTAAACTTTGGAAGCAGTACGCAACAAGAACAAGTTGAACAAGTCTCGCTGCCTCCAGCTGCCCCTCCGACGCCTCCAGCTGCCCCTTCGACGCCTCCAGCTGCCGCTCCAGCTCCATATGCCGCTCCAGCTCCATATGCCGCTCCAGCTCCAGATGCCGCTCCAGCATCTCCAGCCGCCGCTCCGACTCCTCCAGCTGCTACTCCAATGCCACCTGCTAACCCCGAGATGTTCAATTTCGATAACTCGAAAGGCCTTGACTCCAAAGCTGGAATCGTGTGGCCAGTGGATCAATCAGGAACAAACAGTGACTTGTCTACATTGCGGTTTGGATTGGACCAGAAACCATTGCCTGAAACGCGACCCCGATTTAATTTATTAGATCGAGAAAAATTTAATGCTGGAAAGGTGACAACAATATCAGATGCTACGCAGACTGATCAAAGTGATACGAATTACAATGCTGGCGAAGTAATTGTGCCCGTTGATGACAAAAGTGACGTGTCGATTCTAAAGTCTGATCAAAGCACCGTTGAAACCGCTGAACAAAATGATGGTGATACTCCAGAGCAAATATATACCAAGTCTGCTGCAAAGTCATCCGGCACAAGTCCAATAATTATTGCACTCATTGTTCTAGCTGTTGTAGGTGTCATTGCTCTGGGTGCTATTGTATTTGCTGTGAAAAAGAAGCAACTTGAAGACAAACGCATTGATCGTGACGAAGCGATGATTCGAGCCTTCGATTCGTTTAGCTCGCCTGTGGAAATAAATACGACCAATATCGCCAGGATTTAAGAGGTCGCAAGAACCAATCCATTTGTTTGTTTCCGTTGTGAGAGAAGTGAGTCGACCGCTTCAAATGTAGAGTGTAACCTGTCGTGCACCATTTTGCTTATCTCAATTATTTTATTCGTAATCTTAAGCATAGAGTTACGCTCAAAAAGACTTGATGTTAATTTACCAAATCACACATTGTTTTAACATCTGAATGTTTTACGTTTCGGATCGCAATCTTATGGCTTGTTAGTGGTGCACGAAGGATATTGTGGTATGAGTAGACCTTTAACAATGAGTCCTCGACCTTCAAACGAGGCTAAGAAGTGCCAAACTATGGCACCGCGACGAAGTATTCTGAACATGATGAAGGAATGACACAGAGCTCCATGTGACCCAGCCTCTCACGATGAAAAAATTGACTGTGTCACTTCCGTGATTAATATTCAGCCTTGCACCTCCGATCACAATTCAGAAAATCGTGATTTAGCTAATTCACTGCCAACATGTTTCTTTTCTAAGAGCCGAGTCTTGTAAATGTTGTACACTCAGGTCGTGGTGTGACCTGATAAGCACCGTCGCGAATCCTAAAAAAAACCATTTTGGCGATCTAAAAGAATTGTCAGTTTTGAATGGTCACTGTACGCACATGTAGAAGAACTCTGAGGCTTATCGATAACCAATAACAGCTCACAATATCTTGGCGTTATCTCACGCAAAAAAGCTAACGATTGCTTTAATGGCGATGAGAGGTGCTTTGTGAACAAACTTATTGTTCCTTTCAAAGCAACTGCAGGCCAAACGAAATTTACATATGCCATGAAAGTTCCCAATTCAACGAGAAGTATCATGTTTACTTTTCGGGTCCCCACCCTGCTCTCTTCGAGAAACATCCAGCAAAATTGTCACTCGCTTTCGAAAATCTTACCTTGGTCAGGGAAACCCTACGATTTGTGCGCAGGTTATGAACTGCCTCCGTTTAACGGTATAATACGCTCGCAGCGGAGCTTACGATGATGCTCATCTCCTTGCCAGTAGGCTGAACCTGGCTCAGCAAACCAAGCTTGCCCGCTTGACGTGCAAACTTCACAGCAACTGTACAGGCTCTATCACTTCGTGGGTTTACTTTCGATCTATTAAAAGCTACCCTCAGTGCCTCGGTGAAGCTCGTTCATGCCTATGTGTGCGGGTCTACCGTTCAAACAGAGAGCGAAACGAGCTGGAAAGAAGATTTGCAAAAATTAAATATCCCACTCGGTCAACATATAACTTCTGCGCTTAGAGCAGCAATCGAGTAAATCTGCTCCTCGTGAAACCGTGCCTTTGAGCTTGAACGAAGGTGGAAGTGCCGAAGAGTACTATACGAAATCCGAGAACTGGGTGAAGAAGGTATGTCATCCCATCGTTCTGACAGCTTTTCAAGTCACTTTTGTGAAGCAGAAGTCAGATTGGACTGTCGTCTTATGCTCGACCTTGCGAGGTTCAATTCAAGGCGTGAAGATTTGGGTAGACTTTAACCATAATCACTATTTGACCTCAACATTTCTGCTCATTAGACACGAGTAATAATACAGCGCCCAGACCTCGAGAATAGCGAAAGGCAAAGGGTGCGCGAGTTGTAAGCAACAACAGTTCCAATGCAATCCTGCCGAGGTGAATCCATAAGCTTCCATAAGGTCTCGGATTGAAGACATCTCTTTTACTTAACCAGATAAAAATTCATTAAACTCTAATGAATACGCCGGCCCACACGTCAAAGTAGTTTGACGTGTCGGCCAGCGAAAAATGATTCTTTTGCGACTGGTAAATGCGAGCAATCTTGGATATGATGACAGCTTGCGGACGATACTTGGATTAGTCAATTTTCGGATTTTTATAAAACGTGAACGTAGTGTGTGGTACACATTTTGATATGCGTTGTCTTCTGACAGTATTGACATTCTTTAGATGCTTAATGCAGTCGCAATTGTAACGAAGTTCTATACTTGTGCTTATCCTATGCAGGCTCTGAGCTATTGTCGTGTGAAATTTTTTGAGCTTCTTGATATGTGCACGACTTTTGACAGAAAACTCAATTTTCTTCTGATAAAATTATTAATACATGAGATATCAAGTACTGAAATCTTCCAACTATGAGTTTTACGCTATCCTTCACACTACTGACTGCATCATTAAAGCCTGATGTCGTGGTGTGCTGACGTGTACGAAATTTGATCCGAGTGAATCGTCCGACATGTCGCCGTTGTCATTTTTGCATTCTTCGAGCAACCTGCGCTTCTTGTGAAGAGCTACTGCCACGCCAACGACAGTCCCTGTCACCACACATGCAGTAGCAACGAAAGCGATGACAGCAATCGTTGAGCTAAAAGGATTCTTACTGGACGTATCGTCCTGTACAGAAGCTTCACTAATCGAAGTCGCTGGTGACGCTACTGTGAAACCCTTGTTTCCTGACTGCTGGGATAATGTTGATTCTTGTAACGTCAGAATACTTGACGGTCCAGAAGCTACATCTCCGCTATGATATAGTTGATGTAAATGATCTGCGAATCCTAAATTGTCACTGATAGGTGTTGAATGGGTTGACGTTTCTGCGACCGTGAAGACAGTTTGAAGCGGAACCTGAGCAGAAATTGGAGATAGCGCCGGCAATGATTCAGTAAAAGGTGGCACGATGGGAGCATCAGTAACTGGAGACGGAGTTTCAGTCGCGATCGAGTCTAGTGGTGGAGAATTCGGTGGTGGTTCCGTTTGAGGAGCCATGTTCGGATCCATTAACGGCGGGG